CTATCGAATCGAGCAGGTGGCTCTCGACGAGCTCCCTTATATTTTGACGATTAGTTCTGGACCCAGCTTCTTCTCGAAGGACGGACTCCGCTCACAACACCTTTCTCTCTGCCAGGGCCGCAGCCCGCTCGCTTAATTCCTCGCAAATGAGCGCCGCGAAATTTCTAGAAGTACATTTTGTACTCGGGAGAACAAAGCCAATTCTCTTTTCACGCGGTGGACGCGTTTCCGCGCAACAAGAAGTCGCGTTATTTGGGGGGAAAAAAGCGCGCACAAATGTACGTAGCTTGAGACGTGGCCGTTTACATGATTGAGTTTGAAGAGAGTAAGAGGGCGAACGAATGCAACATGTGTGGATGATAATCGAATCATGATTGATAATGACAACCGAGCCGCTGAAGTATGATTGAAGCTACGATGATCGAAAACTATATGTCTTGCTTTTTCAGCTTGATATTGTGTGAGGGGACGTGTGTCCGTTTGGGAAATTTTCATTAACTCATTAGTAGGAATTAAAATGAAGATCTCTACACTTGCGCGAGAAATTATATAAATTTTTCTGAAAACCGCGTAAAAACAGAGTTGAACGCACTGCGAAGGAAACACCATCTTGTTCCTCCTCATTAAACCCCGAGATTTCCTCGATCCTATTTTAACGTTAAAGCTTTCTGCAGCTAATCGCATCATCTCTTGATCATCTCTTCAGCGTTAGTAATAAAATATACCGTTTGCATCCATTAAGACACCACATCGTTAAATAATTCTGTAGTTTGCACCGAGAAGACCAGGGAATAAAAAACGCCGGAACCCCACTCGCCACGAAGCAGTTCACTGGGAAAATATCTAAATTGGATATCTTTCAAGTGATAAGAGGCACTGCGCGGAAGAAGCGTTCCCTAATTTTTTTTTCGAACCTTCGTATACCTTCTCCATTATATTACAGTATTGCACTCGCAGGTAATTATTGAAATTAAGGCAATACTGTTTCAAGCGTTGAGTGCTAACTTACGACTTTTAAAATCAAGTGAATGTAGTTGTACGCCTCCTAGTCTTTAATGCGCAACATAATAACGGAAGTGTTGCTACTCTGTTAGCATTAAAAACGACGCCGTCGTATCTTCCTTAGCCCTTTCATGACCACTGACGACGTGTAAGTCCCACTTACAAAATTAAAGAATCTCACTGATGTTACATGCATTCTATACCGAAAAACATAAACAAAAAACTCGAAAAATTTCATCGTGAAAGGGTTAAGGCGCCTTCGTATCTTGACATTCTAATTCTCTTCACAACCCTTTGTCTCCTACACAGAGAAAACGATTTCTTTGGATTTAATAAATTTTGTTGCATCCACACATATCATTTGTTTGAACTTGAAATGTTTGAAACAAACAGTGTTTTCTGTTATCTAGATGAAATTATCTAGATGATCATCTAGATAAGGCTGTTTCGTTATCTCATCTTTATCTAGATAAGAATGAAACGTATTATCTACATCTTTATCTTAGATTTAAAAATACGTTATCTGTCTGAAATTATCTAAGATAATGGTTGCATTCAGCAGAACTCAGTATTTCGTGGCTATAGGTTTAACCCATTATTTATCATTGGTAAATAATTTCATTTCCTAGTTTATCCGAAATTCATACAAACAATTATCATTTCCATGTACAACATTATTAGTATTTGAAGAAATTAATATTTCACATTTATTAGTTTCAATATCTGAATCTGATTCACACTATTCCATACTGTTCAAATCTTTATTTGCTTCTAACGTGAGTCAATTTTGATCACAGTTTTCATATGTGATGCTAAAGCATCTAAATGATTTAGCATTAAAATTTGTAGCATTATCCGTTAGAATATTTGTAATTTTTTATATGTAAATTAAATTTTCTCAATACATTGTGCACAACTATTGCAATATTTTTATAAATGTAATTGTACATTATTCTTTTACAAGCCAATTAAATATAATCCTGCTTTTTTAATAGATTTATAAATATAATTGTTTTTATTTTTTCTTTAATTACTTTTTAAAGCAATGTTATCTTGAAATCATCTAGATAAAATGCTTATAATTTCATCTATTATCTAGATAAACTAGAAATAAATTTATATCTTATCTAAGATACAATTTTATATGTCTTATCTTTATCTAGATGATTTCAACTTTATCTACGTAAAACACTGGAAACAAAAGATATATTGTTTTATTCAAGCAGCATTATCGTTTGGTAGAAAATATGTGAAAAGAAAGATATACATACATCTTTTTCCCTCCACATAATAATTTTTTCTTCGTTCGAAGAAGAAAGATAAACACTGAATTAGTACGCTATGTTCACCCTGGCGAAAATAATATATTTATGAGAAATTTGTTTAAATGTTGCGTCAATATTTTATTAGAGTTTTAAAACATTTATTGAATTGTTTGTAAGATATAAATTTAAACATGGAGTTGTTTACGACATGTTCACGGTTACAAGTGTTCGAATTGCGTTTAATGATACAATGTCAAACGTTTCCCTTATAGTTTTCCAAGTGTTTGTAAAATATTATCGTCAGTACGGAATTAACCAGGTGTTTGCAACGTACTTCCAAACGGTGTAACCATTAAAACTCTTCATAAACAATGTAGCTATCGATAAAACTCTTCATAAATAAATATTAACGTCATCCCTCGCTTAAAATTTTCGCCAGGGCAGCTATAAAGAATAGACCATTAGATGATTAGACTGCGTCTGCTGATGCGGTCGCTATGTCTGGCCGCCGTGATTTTACTTACGAGTTCAGCGGCCATCTAGTGGCATCATCAAACTTTCTAGGCACCTGGCCAAATAATATAATTATTTAATTGAAATAATAGTGTCTTTTCTATCAAATAATAGGGATTGTTTGAATAAAATAGCTAAATTTCTATTCAAACAAATAATGTTTTGCATAAGAATATGTTGTTTCAATGAAACAAATTTCGATGAAATAAATAGGAATACTAAATCCAAAGAAACCTTTTTCTTTGTGTATATCTGTAAAAAAAAAGGGAGAAATTACAGTCCGCGCAAAAGAGACGTTGGTAAAACCAATTTCTCGTAAAAGTATCCCGTTTCCACGAAAGGTTTTTACAATTGCAAATTCACGCAGAACAATGGGTGCCGCGGGAGAGCCCGCGCAGGAGGGGGCGCAAAAGAAATGGAGTTAAGCTAATGGATAACGAATAAGGATTCTTCGCCGCGATGCTGATCGAGAAGATAATCCGATCTGTTGTTCGCGGAACCCTACCGCCGGCTGCGTCCCTGAGGACCGAGACAGCCGGTCATCCTGGTTGCCGCGCTGGCCGCCGGGTCGGCCGGACCCCGACGTCGACGGCGTAGCCTGCGCGTGCACTTGCCGCGAGGGAAAGGTGGATGGCCGCGACCTTGATGCGCGTGGTTCTCGCGTGCCCGAACCTTCACGAGCCTCCGCGAGGACGGCCGAAGCGGGCACGGCCGGCCGACCACGACCAACGCCTGTACACGGTTGTTAAATTATCTCTCCGCGGCTCTCTCCCGACTCCTCTCACTCACTCTCTCTCTCTCTCTCCCTCCTCCGTATGGACCGTTTCTTCAGCGTCCCGTCCCTTCGGCTTCCTATCCTCCTCTCTACGCGTCGCGCGCCTCAACTCCTTTTTCTTGGCTCTTCACGCAACTCGCACACACGCACTCGCGCGCTCGTGCATGAGATCTCACGGAAGCTGGAATGACTATCGCTACACTCGGCTCTCGAGCCCCGGCTAGTTCTATGATGGGACCGGTATCTCGACTTAACCGACCAGTCATCCGAAGCAGCCAGTGTCTCTCAACGCGTCCGAATATTATGAATTACGCCCGGGGTTTACCCCGAGGATTATCCCGAAATACGACGCTTCTCCCTTTATCGCTACGCTGCCACAATCGATTTTACGTGTTCACGACACTTGCCGCGAAACCCATCAAGTTGTTATCGGCGAATGCTTTGTGCCTTTGAGAAGCATAATCGCCAATATCTTGCACATATTAAGAATCTCGAATATCTTGCAGCTATCAGATGATTCCTTTCCAAGATATATTTAGAAGTGGAGATGAAGAAATATAAAGAGAGAAAGGAAGAAGTACAGAAATGAAGAAATAGAGAATTGGCGAAACGGAAAGATATTTATAATGCTTAATGCCACAACATACGCATATGTATTTAAACTCAAAGGACTTGTAGAATATTACAGAATATTATGGCAACGCCGATATATGTATAAACGCTTAACAATAATTTGTCTTTACAAAGTTTGTTATTAAAATACGGTGACAACATTTGGATGCTAATATAAGACACATTTTGTGTAGTTTTACATCAAATTTTGAATTGTTTTTGAAAATTGAATTATAACTTTTCAATGAAAGGGGGACTTGATGTCACTGGTGTTTTATTGTTCCCTAATGAAATCTTCCTTCCGGAAAGATAAATGGATCCAGCCAGCACGACTCGGTTGTATTGTGGGTTGCCAGGCAGTCAGGGGTCCATAAAACTTTTTTTGACGCTCGGTAACGTGGGAGACAGTCTTTCTGATCGTAGATCCCTATCCGAAACAAGCTGGATCGAAATGTACTGTTCGAATGCGCAAGACTAATTGTAAGTAGAAGAAAATCTTTGAAATAAATAAAAATTCGGACGCTCGACTTAAATAAATTATTCTTTAAATGATACTTGGAGTCGAATACAAAGGCACAAGATGTTTGCGTAAAAAAAATGATTGAAATCGGAGTAGCGTATCAAGTGTATTTTTAGAAGCCAGTATTCTGCCGAAGCGCTAGAGCAAAGGACGGTACAAAAACTTGGCGTCCTTGAATTCCATCAGGACGCATATGCAGCCGTAACATATTTTGATGCAGGATCGACATATCGATGGATGCTTAGAATACACCTTGTAAAATAATATCGAATATTGCCGTACGGGTTTAAAGGTTCGATAAATATAATGCGTGTAGGGAATACGAAAAAATATATTTTCACTTCAGTGCTTTTCCCTACCTTATTCATCTCGATAATTATAAATTACTTATAAACAACCATTTGTAAAATTCATTTTTATATTACATAGACTAATCACATTTCTAAGCGCAATAAATTATTTTAACTCGTCGCTCCACTCGATGACTCAGCAATTAGCGTGGAAATTTCCTGGATATAGCTCGGTTCTCCCTTAACAAGTTTTTCCCCTTCTATACTCTTCTCCTCACTTTTGAGGTCTGTTACGGATAATGTATCTTCCTGAGATGATGTGTCTGACACTTTTAAAGGATGATTTTTTTTTTAATAATCCTGATGCATCACGTAGTGTGTTAAAATGAATTTAACGCATTACAAAGTAACTTACAATCGCTCTTGAGATCATGGTCGTCTTCTATCTCGCCCTTTTCGTAACTGAAAGTTTCGTCGGAACTTTCCTCTTCGGTTCCAAAGTGTACGTACGACAACGTACACACGAGCATTATGAAAAACAAATTTGTACAAATGCCAACGCAGGTTGATAGAATGGGCCAATAAAACATCCAGTAACGTAATCCCGACAAGTGAGCATTTATCATAAGATTGGCGGAATAGAATTCTATGTGCCGTGATTGAATCTCAATGAAAATAATTGTCACTGGATGGCTCTGAAATATTGAAAATTACATTCCAAGCGTTAGTTGGAAATCTTAAAAGAAAATTATAAATTGCATTTGCAAAGTGCTGCTGGGACCCTTACCTGGTCCTCTTCAAAATTGCCAAACAATTCAAGGACAACGTCTTGCTTCTCTTCGGCGTTTCCAAAAATCATCATCGGCGAAAACGTGAGAGTTGTAAGCGTGTGTAACAGTGTGCTGCGGTAATGTAACATGGCTGACTTACACGTATGCTCCACGAGGTATCCATCGCGGCTTCGCAATTGCGCGCAAACCATAAACATACCTTGAAATAACGTTAACTTATAGAACACGATTGAACATTCTCGTACAATTGGAAACTTTACCGAGCTCTTTGTTCGCTGGCGATTCTGGCATTTCTAGCTGCAAGTTTACTTTATACGGTTGTCCTACCATCAGAATCTGCTGCTTCTTGGTCAGCTGTACGCGAGCCTGTGGAAAGCTACAAATTCCCTTGTTCTCGTCGCACGACCTAAATAAATATCAATAATAAAATTCTATTAGATCCAATTGTTATATATATAATTCCGTTGATCTTCATTTTCTATAAGCAAGCATTGGATGTTACCGAGGGGGAAACCGCTGACCAAAATGTTGTACATCAATGCCCACTAATGCCCAGTGGCCACTACTTTATCTTATCATCTTATTTTATATTTCTAATGCCCCAGAAATGCCTAGTAATGCCCAGTAATGTTGCAAATCTGTACACCACAATGCCCTCAGCGGTTTTCCCCTAGAATGTTACTCTACTAGTCTTGTTCGTGTTGCTTGAAATTTCCAAAAATTTCTGCACCGAGATAGATACACATTGTGCGTTGGGGAAAGAGAGAGAGAACGAAGGTTCCAAATGCAACAAGCGCAAGCAACGCGAACAGGCCTATTGTCATCGTCATGAAAATTCAGTAGCGAACTTTGCTCGCTCCTTAGACTTTGACACCTTCCGAAAGTATGACGCATCCAGGCAATTATCGCCGGCGTCGTTATACTTTCAAATCGATACAGAAAGGTACAGAAGTGGAGACTTACTTGAATTGTAAATGTACGGGACGTACGTACGACATGCTGGGCATGTAGGAGTAGTAAAAAACCGTATAAAGAAATATGGACAGCCAGATAATGAAGACGGTGCTGATGACAACGACACCGCCGCGGAAAACCGTGTCTCTGGCAGACTGCATGCTCTGCCTCGTGGTTTTCCGTACGTTAAACCACTTCTTACTAATCTCACGTAGGAAGCGCGAGATCAACATTTTGCACAATTATGCCGAAAACTGCGCGATAAGATTTTTTTTTCTCTCTTCCTTCAGGGATGCTGATTGCGTTCCGATAACCGATAGTTACATAACGACGAATTAAACGCCCGTTCAATTGCTAAATTCCCTTCATAATTTCACTTTAATGCGCGCATCGGCCGACGTAGTCTGATATATCGGAAAACTTTCAGGTGCGACCACGAGAGACGAGACTGAGGAGAGCGAGCGACGTCGGCTCCGCATCCAACATCGGTCGGATGATAACAGGCCGAGTACTTCCGAGGCTACGCGGATATCAACAAGGTGTTTTTGCATCTCCAACCGCAGTGCCCGGGAGAGCCGAAAGGTTATGTGTAAGTAAATGTAAACATGATTCGAGCGCGTGAACAGCACACGGCGCGATTCTGTAGATGTCGAGCATCCCCCCCTTCCGTCGGGCCTTCTGACTCTTCCTTTTTGGGGAGGAAACAAGTCTCTGTAGATGGCGTCAGGTACCTCGCGTCTCGACACGATGTGGCTAAAAAAATTGCGAGAAAAATATTTGCTGTGCACGCAGAGCTCGTGAAATTGCGCGACACTCAGAATTTTTACCTGTACATACGTACCTCCTATCGCATTATATTCCTCTACTTTATGATACTAATTGGATACTAATTCATGAGTTTGCGCCTGCAATTCAAATCTTCGAGCATAAACGGGGGCGATTGTTGGAATTATTAATCGTGAGAGTTGATATAACGTCACCTATTGTTTCATTCTATTCTTTTGACACTAATTTCTGATCATTCGAGTTTTATTGAGATGTTTTTCAATGTCGGTAATTTTACGAAAGACTGCCGTTAAATTATCCTCAGTCGGTCGTGTTGGTAGCAACTTTATCGGCCGTGGATAATTAACAAATCTGCTATGATTACCGACATTAGAAGTTTTTCAGCAAAATGTACGGTAGTGCTTTTTATACTTTACCAATAAATAAAGATTAATATCCGTTATATATTTGCAAAGAAAGATTGTCTCGGAAGAAATCGTGTCTCAGCAGCTCGAAAATGTAGACTCAAATAACGTTTTAATCGCTTGAGAATTTAGCAAGGCCAAGCTGCCGCTACAAATGCTTCGAAGCGTTTCTCCTCTCCTTCTATCTTCACTGAAAAAAAAGGAGAAAAAGAAGATTCGCAACGTTTGAAGCGACTGCTTGACCGCAGCCTAAATGTAAATACTTAAATCGCGATTCACTTTGGTTTAATCGAACGTTTGTTAAAATATATATTGCTGTCCCATACAGCACCAAAGCTTTCAGAAACATTTCAGAAAATATTGTTGCAATGTTGCAATGTTTCTGAAACGTTTTTGAAAGCTTCGGTGCTGTATGGGGTGTAACAGCTTGGAGATGATTTTGAAGGTATTTCTATCGAGATATTTGGAGTTTTAGAAAAGAATTGAAGTTGTAATAGATTACAGTTATTTTCATGAATCTATGATATGTCTAATTGTGCGTTATTTTATTATAAAAAATGAGAACGATTTGACTTGAAGTTGTGTTTGAAAACAAAACATCTTACGTACTTCTTAATTCTTTCCTGTATCTCACACAACCATCAGTTGCTCCGTTTTAACTTAAAGAAATAATACTCGGTTTCAAAACAACGTTCTCTCTTGCAATCTTATTTATAAGAGAGAATTTTCGTTCTCTTTGATGCATATATATTTAACAATGGATCAGTTTAGTCGACCTTAACTGGCACTTGCTTAATAAATAAAAATAAAAATATAATGTAATAAAATTAATTGCATATTATATTTTTATTTTTATTTGAATTTATTAAACACGTGTTAGTTAAGGCCGACTAAACTGATCCATTGTTATTTATTACTGGCAACCTAAAGAGATTTATCATGTTCATATACGTTTAATTTCAGGCAAGGAGAAGGAACGGACACGGAGGAGATGAGAAGCAGAGAGTATCTTCTTTTTGGTGTCAAGGATGCGACTGTCTGCGTGAAGTCGACTTCACGCAGACGATACATGATTGTATCTTTATTTAACTGCACATTATACCGTAAGTAACTTGCGCTATTTGTTATACATATATGTACATACGTACCAACTAACTAACCCTGTTTTTTCTTTTTCTTTTTTTACACGTTAAATCCTGCATCAGCTGTCATCGCCATTGTGGCGATCTGTTAGATCCTCGATAGCGTCCGGCGTAATTCTTTGACTCATCCTCACCTTGTCGGGCGAGTAATTGCGAAACAGCTTTTCCTCCTCCCGGAAATAATTCTGCAAATGATCCAGCCTCATGCAGTGCGCTTCTGCAAATTAAAACAATCAATATTAACAGTCTGCGACCAACCACGTTACTTCTAATGGTAAGACAAATTCCTTTAGGAAATCTTAAAACACACGCTGCAGATATGCAGCGGCGCTATTTGCTGTTGCACAATATGTACTTACTATGAAGGCTTGCGACACAATCCAATTGCCCGCCGAAGTCCTTCGGCAGACATTCGGGCGGTATATGTGGATACACGTCGGAGACGTCGCCCGAGTAAAGGTGAAGCTGCGAAGTGACGAAAGTTAAAGTCAACCTGTAAACTGTGACCTGCCGGATGCGTGAGACCAGAATTGTCAACGTATTCGCGTAATGTCGATGCGCAGAGATGTATATTCATGGCGCGTATGTAAACGTGTATGTAAATCTCGCGGTGTGTTCGATCCGTACGATTCCCGATGGGTTCGAGTTCAATCAAGGTTAATTTACCGAGTTAAATTATAAATCGGCAGTTGCGGAAAGTCGGTGTCCAACCCCTCGTAAAAGACAATGCATCGATAATGCATGATAATTTATTCAGAATTGCTCGCACTCGCCTCGAGTCGAAAGTCGATTTACCATTTCGTAAAGCTCCTGCTTCATAAACGGCCTGATGAGCGCGAGCACCTTGTCCATGAACCAGACCGCGTTCAGCACGTGGATGCTCTTGAGTCTCACCGGCATGCCTTCTTGCAGGTATTCGAAGAACCAGCGAATGCTGTTTATGGACAGTCTGGTCAAGTGACCGAGTCGCATGCCGGCCATGTCGAAGAGAAATATGTATCCCGCTGAGCAACCGTCCGCGTGGAGGCTCGCGTCAACAGACATCAGCAGCAGCTTGATGCCGTCGTTGAACACATACTGGGACGGGCGTGAGTCCATCAGTCGATGAAAAATTATCCGATTACCATTTTGATCGGGTCTGGGAAGCACCGCGAACTCTCTACAGCACAGTTGAGTTAAACTTTTCTCATTGTTTTATTAGATGAAAAAAAAACGAGTGAAATGTAGTTCGTAGACCCACAGATGAGACAAAATTTTCCCGCTTTTGTGAGAGCAGAATTTTAGAATGTCGGGGATGAGAAGTAAAAAAAATTAAGTTAGGACAATACCGAGTATAAACATTAGAATTCGTCCTCGCGAGTCCTGCGGAATCGAGGAGAGACAAGGAAGCGAAAATAAGAGGATCCCTCTCGGCACCAGGTGGATTGTGCCATACTTGCGCGACACGGAAAAATTGCAGCGATAAAGATACCTAATGCGGCCGTATCAAGCGCAAGTTACTATTGGCAGGTGCACAATTTGTACGCACGGTGTGCGGACTAAAGGGCTTGAAGGGATCGAAAGAGAAAAGGAAGGATCAAGGCGGAAGTTGTTCCACAATCATGTTGAAGTTATCGCATTGGAGTAAAGTCATATCGAATAACATTTTCGTTAAGATGTTCATGTCAATCAACAAGATAAATGTGTATAAGGATTCTCTTTTTGTATTATCGCCGCAACTTCTCGTATCCGCGACGGACTGTAAGAACTGTACATGCGCAACACGCGAGAGATAAAGCCCCCTTTTACTTGGGGAACAAAGTTACTTTCACATTACTTAATGTTTAATTGAAGATTATTTAAGAGGTGCTGATAAGTGCGTACAAGGCTTTCAAAGAGTGTTGTAGATAGTCGAGGCTGGTATCCCTGTCGCTAAAAAATTGCGGAACCGTGGCTCGCATTCTGTAATAAACCTTCATGCATCGTTTCGTAGCCTCCACATCAAAGTAACAACTGTGCGCGAATAATGCCAATTGCTCTTCGGGAATTCTGGGAAGGCCTTGTTCTCTCGCCCATGTTTGCAAACTCGTCAAAAGCTCGTCCGTGATTTCCGGATATTTCTTCCGCGACTCGTCGATCGTGTGGCCAAATTTCATTCTATGAAAAATCGATATTGGAATATGATAACAACCATGTAATAATCCCGTTAAATGTTTTGTCGGAAGGAACGATCTATCAAATTTAAAAGCAACTTTCTTCTCAATGTAAACACGCGAGACAGTAAAATGTATAAGAAAAGATGGCGAAATCCGGAGCGCAAAGCCAAACGGCTGAAATAACGGTCCATAGGTTTCCTGCGTAATGAAACTTTCACCGCGAACGTAAGAACCGTCGTTTACGAATAGTTGGTATGTAATCTCGCTCGAATAGCGTCACAGCAATTACTGTTGCGCGTTCCCGGCATGCGGATTAGAATTAAAATTAAAATTAAATCTCTAACTCTCTCAAAATTACACTTCACATTTCAAAAATAGCATTGTAGAATATTGAATTCATATATGTGCATATTATTCGCACAATTTTTATATACGTGACTTTTGATTGAACGATTTTAACATGAATAGAAATCCCATGAATTAAAAACGCAAATACAAGACACTTTTACGTCGGATAGGACTTTAATATTTTTATGATTTTAACTCTAGTCACGAGTTACAGAAACAAAGTTTCTTTAATACCTGAAGAAATCAAGAAATGTCGTTCAAGATCGTGCTCGAGACTGTTTTCTTCTCCAGGTTTGATTGATCACTATACCCGTCGTCGCACAGAATCTAATTTTCTTTTTAGTTTTTGAAAAAGTGATATTTAATGACGTTTCCTTTACATATGCTTCTACACAGTTAGTTTTCTTATTTTTTAATGCACTGTGTAAAATTACGTTCGAAGATATGCTCAGTGTATCTATACATTAAATACATAAAAATATATTTTTAAGATAACATTTACGTTTTAAGATACATAAGAAGGTCAGTAGCAAAATTACGAGCAAGATAAAAAAGATGGTTTAAATTCATTTACTTCCAATAGTACGTAGAAAATAGTTGAACGTTTCGACTGTATGTATTTTTAGTTACTTTCAACAGAATAATGTAATATAAAAAGATAGGAGACGAGATTAAAAGTTAATAAAACCGAAGATAACTAAGTATACTCGAAACGTCGAACTATACTTTTTTACATATTATTAGAAAGACATTTTAAACCGACACTTTTATCACGCTCCGTAATTTGGCCTTTGACTTTCTTACATAGCTTACACTTATAACGAGAATTGACTTGTCTATTACTATGTTTTATTTGTGCAATTAATCAGTGAATCGCACTCGACAGAAAGACGCGCGTTCCCGCACCGCGAAGTACACGTTCGGCGAACACGCTATGGGCAACTGCGCGATTCGCGTTTTAACTCACGCCGACGCGACGGTTACATCGGATATCAGAGTGGCCCGCGCACGGTAAAGAAAAATATACCCTCGCATGTGTATGCGTTAGAACTGGTTGCGTTGCAATACTATACAATGAATAAGTAAATGGTATGCAAGAGGGGCGGTGTTAATATAAGCGGTCACCGCAAAGAGATATTCCAGAGCCGAAATGACGAGGTGTGGGAGTGATAGAGATGTTCCTCCGCCAGAGGAAAAGATTTTACTTGTTCGTATAATATTTATTTATTAAGAAAATAATAGAAGAGAAACAGTTGTGAAATCTGAACAGTCTCTTATTGTTAGATCGAAAAATAACTTCATTTTCGGCGAATGAACATTTCGTGAGGCGATTTTGTTTACAGGCCGTGGTTCGGCGAGAAATCCGTGTAACGCAACTCGCATGCCGGGATCTGCAATCGTGATAACACAGCATGATCGCCGAGACACGTTTCGCGAAGAGTGAAAAATGTGAAAGAGAAAGCGTGCGTCGACATCGGCGGATGTCCTCGTGCAAACTTGTTTTCTATTAAAATTGCACGGTTGGTACAAGGCGGGGTGAGTTTTTGTCGCCAATAAACTGTGAGCAATTTCGAAGTGTTCACCATGATGACCATTGATACTCTTATTTATTTTTACAAATAATTTTTACAAGAGAGTCTCTATGGAAATGTAAATTTCGTATTAAATTTTGGAGAACAGTATCTTCTGTTTATCTTCATTGAGGAAACGGTAGATCTTACGCGATGTTTCTAAATGTTAATTAATAGTTCGGACTGATGACGAAGCGACGCTGATGCGGCTCGTGATTGAGGGCGAATCGCGCGGTCCGGCGATCGATTCGAGCTTCGAATTACTCAATGGAGGAAATGCAGGTGTGCACCGAGCAGCAACTGCTGGAAGTAAGAGAGTTTCGCTGCATTGCACAATCTTGTAAGACCGAAACATGCAAGTGGAAGATTAATGTTCGACTCTGTATACGAATCTCTGTTATCAGAATCTCGATTATTGACACTGTTATAGAATCGAAAAAGGTCTCAGAAGTCGGTCCTCGGAAAACAATTTAAGGATAAGGTTCTCTGAATATTTTAATTTCAAGCTGAGATTTAAATTCACGACAGTTGTAGTCCTCATTAAAAAAGTTGAGAGAAACGCGCGAGATGCTTCCGTCTGTCTTCCGTCCAGATCTCGTATTACGCGAGAGAAAATGGGTCGTAGAGTATCTGCGGCATCGGCTTTCATCCCTCGCTGCCCGTACACCTGGCCGATGAACGGCGATCAGGTAGTGCAAGGCTACCGACGAGAATGGGCACGTAGGGCACGCGGTCGCAAGGGCGGTGTGAGTAAGGGAGGATCGGCGGAGGGTGTGTTCGCCGGTGCTGCGCTGGCTGGAGAACAGGTACTCGCCGTAGGCGTCGTACGTTCATTGATAAGCGTATAACACCCCGTGCCTTAGACCCGATGACGTCAACGGACGCCTGCGCAGCGTCGCGTCGAGTCCTGAATCGCAGTGGCGAACCATCAGCGTCGCAACGCGATCCGGTTTCTTCCCCGAGCATCGCAGCGTACGGCAGGGGCTCTTTTCTCACATACGCGAATTCATCTAATCGCAATATCTGCGATCGAGAGCACAACTGTTTGAATGCAGACTACTATTTTTACTCGGGTACACGTGATTCTTTTAACGATGCGGCAACGTAACTGCGGGAAATCGCAGTTTAATTAGTCCGCGTGGCAATGTGCCAAGGCTCCCGACAATACTTCATTATTTCTTCGCCATTAACTGCATGCCATCGTTGAATTAATGACCACATTTTTTTATATGAATTAATTCAAAGATCTAAAAGTACTTTTTCTGTTGTAGATTACTCAAGTTGAACGAAGCATGACGCAAAACCTTCGCATTTACACACGCTGATTGATGCGATCGCGTAATCATCTTACGGCGTCTTCGACTGGCATGAAAACTCGGAATATCTACGGGGGCGACGTTAATACGTTCCTGGTGATACGGCAAGATCGTTTTAGGCCGCGAGGGAGGTACTGTCGTCTCTCCCTCACGGGGACATTTCGGACAGGCGTGCGTGCGTACGTGCGTACGTGCGTGCGTGCGGCGCCGCGTTAAAATTAGACTATTTCTCCTAATTTTCGCGGATTCCACCCCCTCCCTCCTATCTCCGTACCATTCTACATTAGCCATTCGTCCGTGAGGGAAAAATAGCGCGAGAGGAGAAAGCGCGACGAGCTAGAATGAAACGAATAGAAGGGAGTCGAGGAACAGAGCTGGATAAGTGAAATAGATGTAGGCGGTGGAAAGGGTGGCGAAGAAGAGGGAGAGTCAGTGGCGGGAGAGTTTGGGGAAGAGAGAGAGAGAGAGAGAGAGAGAGGAGAGAGAAAGAGCGAGAGAGAGTAGAGGGAAAGAGTGACAATGAGAGGGAGAGAGAGAGCGGAGATATCGTAGGATCACCTCTTGCGTATTGATTGGTCTTTTGTGAAAGCTACACCCCCATGTAGCCGCTTGGCGAACCATTTCGCCAAGTTACTAGACTTCCAGGGTATCGGCCACCAGGGTGGCGGTGCCGCCATGTTTGGCACGGTCGATCGAACCCCTTTAACGCCGCGCGCGAATCATCGCGGCCGGTCGTGTTCCCCCCCGTCGGCGATGATAACGTCGCGAGCGGGCGAGAACGCGCCGCGCCGCGCCGGCGAGCGTTGTCGAGCCGACGTGACGCGACGTGCGTCCCCGCGACGAGGGTGAGAGGGGGACCACTTTCCATTCCCCCAGATCGACTCCCCCCAGAGCGAGCGAGACGTGATGTAAGGGAAGATCGTGCGACGGACTCCGGCGATACAGCGACTCTATATCGGCATCGATCGCCGAGTGACCCATATCTGGCTGTGACGGGAGCCCCCGCCCCCCTCCCGGTCCCCCGGTCGCTCTTCCAACCGCCCCTGCGACGCTTCTCGCATCCTGGTGCGCGCATCTACCCTCTCCTCGACCCACCGCCGTCCGCTTGCCGTCCGCTTAGTGCGCCGTACGGGGGGGTACACCTCCACCCCACACGGGCCGTTGTACCCCCACCCGTCACCCCTCCCCCCGACAGTGGCGAGCGACCACCACCATCACCCCCCTACCCCCGACTCCAGCAGCCCTGCCTGCCTTCCACGGCCGAGCAGATCTTGGGGGTTGTACGGGATGATAGCCGAGTGAAAAAGCTTGGCGAGTACCGAGGAGAGTTCGCTCATCAGCAGCAGCAGCCCTGGCCTGCCACAATCCCTTCGACTCGGTCATCGTAAGTGTCGCGTCGACCAGGAGGTAGAGTGGAAGTTAATGCAAGTCGGATACGAGGGTGAGGGTGAGCGCGCGTGAGAAAGGAAGAGAGAAAGAGAGAGAGAGAGAGAGAGAGAACGAGAGAACGAGCGACAGAGAGAGAGAGGAGTGCCTGATGAAAAGTGCGAACGGGAGCGAAAGGGAACTCGATTAACCATTTTCGACGTCACCGGTCCGCGACGCCCGACGATCCGAAACACCGAGGAGGCGACGAGCGAGTGAGTGCCGAGCGGAACGTCGCAGGCGGCACCTCCGAACGTACATAATTCGCGCCTCCCGGGAGTGAGGCTTCTTCTACTTGTCCGGTCCGATCGACCCGATCGCAAGCGCCCACAGTGCCAGTCCGTCGCGGAAGAGTGTCTCAGTGATGGGGACGAGGGTGGCAGCGACGACGACGGCTGCAGCGGCAGCGGCACCGGGACGACGGACCAGTATGGCGGACGTTAATCGTGGAGTGTCAGTGGTGTCGCCGCCACCGCCGCCGCTGCCGTCGCCGCCGCCGCCGCCGCCGCCGCCACCACCGCCGCCGCCACCACCGCCACCACCACCGCCGTCGTTGCCGTCACCACCGCTGCTCGCGACAGTGGTTGCACTACGTGCCCGCCATGCAGTGGTGTCCGGTGCGCGTACCGGGTTCACATGTACGTTACGTACCTTTCGCCCTTTAGTGAGATCAATAAGCAGTGCCGTGGCCACTCGAGTCGTGCCCCCGCCGGGAAAGTCGTTCCGCGTCTGGTGCTCCCCGTTTCTGATCGCGCGCCTTTCCTTCAACCCCTCGTCTCCCCCCTCGACATCGTCGCCGTCGTCTCGACTGCCGATCTGCCGACTGCATGAGGCTCGATTCCGAGTGCCAGAACGTTCCGGAGGTGACTCGCCCTCCGAGTCACTGTCAAGAACCTGGCTCCCGGTGACCGGAAGTGCGGTATTTTGTCAGAACGTCCTCTCTCCGCTGCTTCTTTTCTTCGAACGGTTAATCGAGACTCCACCGCTTTCGGGGCTCGGGCGAGAGTGCCCATTTCCGCCCGTTTATCTCCGTGTATCAGTCGCTATCTCGTCCGCCATCGAGCTGTTCCTCGATATCGTCCGCTCGCGTAGCACGTCTCCACGTCTTGGGTCGAATTGCTGACAGCCAGCACCCGGTAGGACTTCTCATCGCCGCCTCCGTTTCTCTACCTCAATTTACCTCGCCTCGCTCATCTTTTCTTCGCTGTCCCGTACTCCGTACATTCTTTCCATTCACACGTTCGGTTGCTTTATCGCAACGAGGTGGCATTTATCTGTTCGGCTTTGTTACGCTCCGTGTTGTTATCAGACCCAGGAAATTTCGTGATATCGATTTTCCTCGACAATTCCAGTGCTGTTGGTGGTTAAGCTAATCCAAGAGTATCGAAGAACTCGTTCCGCGAAAGGAATTCTCGTCTTGGCTCGAAATGGCCCGTGATCGCCGTACGAGATTGATCGGGTACGTTTTACTCCGCAAAAGAATCGTGTGAGAGCTTTTACATCCGAAGCAAATTCTCTACCGTATAAACGTCCATTCGAACGTTAAGTATCTCGGTACATGTACAAGTGACAATCGATCGCGAATTATTCTCCTCTCGAGTCTCGCTGACGGAGGCTCCGAAATCCTCCTCGAGGATACGTTTCTCTTATTCTACATTCTGCTGATTGCTTAACATAGCTCTGTTTAGTTGGACTCGACGTGAGCATGTGTCCAGTCAAATGTAGGCCTCGATCGTATTCGACGGTCGTTCCTTGTATCGCCTCGAGGTGTATCAATCAAGGGATTAAACGAGGAGAGCTCCGCGCCGCGCGAAGAACAAAGCAGCCACGAAGTAGCAGCGATAAGATGTATTTGCCTAAGCCGCGAGAGCTGAACCGCGTGCGGCAGAATAAAATCGATAATTCGGCACTAATATAGGAGTCTGGCATTAACTCGCGATGCGTGGACAGAGGGGTCGGCAGTACGGTTTTTCTATCGGGGGAGAGGATTCTCTGTCTCCTCCCGCGGAATTCCACGCTCGGCCGTGACGGCCGATATCCCCGTCGAACGCACATTTATTCTCGTCCTCGCGCATTTTTTTTTTTCAATTCCGCATGCAGAAGTTCCGTTTTTACCACTCGGTTATTTCGGGATACTATATCGATTCTTCGACTCGTATCGCGTACGCCTGTTTTATCGCATTTCGCCTCCTCTGTGTACATTGTAACGGCGCTGATTGTCCGTCAACGTGTTCATGAACTTGCCGCGGCAGAAAAGCGGATAATTTCCTGATCGTCGCTCTCGCTGCGTTCGTCAGCGTCGAGAGAAAGGGGGACAGAGAGCAGTGGAGGAGGAGGGGGGGGAGACGTGCACGGCAATTAAATAGTATCGGTGGATGGAAGCGTACCCGAGGGGGTTGCCATTAAGTCGCGTTAATAGGGAGGTTGACGGGAGAAGTGGAAAACGAGAGGCTGCGCCTGGCGAGACGTTTCTTTCCCTTCATTGTACAATCGTACAATGTGCGCGAGTGATTTTTACAACGCGTTGCACACGCTCTCGCGTCAATTATCTTGCGTTCAATCCCGCCGATAACGAGCGCTTGGCCTTTGTAGTTACAAATAGTTCGGCTTCTTTCGAGTCGACTTTCGTATCGACTAGACAGATCTTCGCCGACGTGTATTTTCCCAGCTGCACGACGTCCAATTAAAAGTACCTACGCGCGAAAAGTTCTCGTTCTGGGGGCCAGATTCTTGAATTTGTTCGCAAGAGAGACGTATGCGCAAATTCGGCTCTTACAGAAACGTTGCAGGTCGATTGGCTGAAAGCTATGCGATGACCAGTCAACTTCCCAGACAGCACGGATCTCCTGAAGACGTTTTAAAGACCATCCTCTGGACGTTTTTATGTCCTAAGAATGTTCCCAGGACATCCATAGGATATCGTGTGCTGTCTGGATTGTGACTTTTCGAGACGAATAAATTGAAGGATCTAGCCCTTCCCTCCTCTGAAGGGTCGATCGGGACTTCTCTTCCGCGCGACGAACGTAGATGACGATCGGCGAGTGTCGCAGCGAAAAAGGAAAAATTCACGTTTGATCCCTGACGTTTGGAGACACGAGGGAGAAAGGGGGAAAGTTGGCTGGGTGCGCTTTTTATCCTCGGTGCACGGACGCAGAGATGACCGGCACGAGGGCGTGAAACTCCGCGATGCGTGCAAATCGCTAGCCGAGGCTTCGTACGAGGCACGTGTCGCTCGATCGTAACGTACCGCGTTTAACGAGACTCTGTGACAAGTGCGGCGTGTGTATGTATGTGTGTATGCGTGCGCGCGTGAATGTGTGGGTCTCAATCGCGGCAGCTTTTTCGCGTGAAAACCGCGATCGTGGGCACTTGGCCGCACGCGACGCTTGGCGCTCAGCACGAAATATCGCGCGAGCAACAACTCGTAACAACTCGCGCGCTGCATTTAACACTCCCTGGCCGGTGTTGAAGTACGGTCGTTCGCGGTCGGTTGGGCTCTCATTGTGGGCGCCGGCGACGAGCGATCGTCGACCGCCCGAAGTCGCGAGGATTTCTGCAGGCGGATTAGTAACTCCGATCGAATTCCTCGCGCCGATACCTGTTGCCAATAATCGCGCCGATTGACTCTCCCGCGGTAAATCTAGAACGAATCGGTGGAGCTGCCCTTTATTTGACATGGATTCGAGCTGAGAGGAGAAAGCTTTTCTCGTTGCAATAAAACGCGTGGTCTTTGAATTAATAATCTTCTCGCTCCGCCTTTGACTCAGGCGAAGACTTAGATGGAGCGCGTCGAAAAGATCTCGAGTTTGAAGGCGGCGTGCAAAGTAGATAAGAAAATCAGGCTGCGCTGGAAAGTTAACTTTATCAAATGAAGGGCCAAATCGATGCAACCTAATTCACGCTATATTCGGCTACGGCACACATCCCTCGCATTTTCGTAGAGATTTATAATTAACGAGCGCGTCGATAATTTCATTCTCCCCCGCTTGCCCCATTACGAAACATCCATTTTCATTTCGCGAGTCTGAGGATGTAAGAGGCGTGGCGCGAGCGCCGCTCGCTGACGAATTAAAGGAAACATTTTGCATACGTGCATACGTTTTCTCGTTTAGGATGACCCCATATCTAACTACGAATCAGCCTACGATCCGATGCGAAAGAACGCTGGTCCCCCTTAAACGCGAGGCCCCCCCGTCCCCCGAGAGTGCTGCGAGAACAAGCCAAGTCCCGGCTCGCTCCCGAGGCGGGGTTGCGCACGTGATGGGAGAAATAAGCGTCCCCCTTTGCCCTGCGATAGAGTCGCACCGTTAGGCGTGTGTGTGGGACCGTCGGCGCGGTGCGCGGCGCGGCTCGGCGGGCCGCGCAAAGGGGCCGCCCAATTAATTAAGATAGCTCCTAGACACACACGCTAGATCGATAGGGAGACCGGCCGCGATAAAGACTGGCGAGGGTCTCAGACTTCAGGGATGTTGCAGTGCTGTGGTGTTGGAGGTGGCGCTTCCACGGCTCCGCAGCTGCACGGTACCGGATCCGCTGTCGGGGCTACCACCTCCACGAGAACCACCATCATGCAGGACGCAATTCTCGATGCCATCCTGGAGGTGAGCGTCCTATTGCGCCACGAGACGACTTTGTGCTCCCTTTCCGCTTTTGTCATTTTTTACTTTTAGAATTCACCACGTGGATTTAGTTCGTTTCCTTCGCACTCATTTTGGAAGATATTGCTGCCACTGTTTGCTGACAGTTATTTCATTTTAATAAGATGCAATGCCCAAAATAACGACGGATGGTTTTAACGACAGTTTTTACTTCTTTTTTTTTTTTAATCTTTTCAGACGAGACTTCCGCGCGTTGCTCTTTGTATTAAGGAAAGACAGAGTTATTTCGGTTTTGCGGTATGTCACTTTGCAGTTGCCAAAAATAAAAGATCCCGCATGGGGATATTAATGAATGTGCGGAACACGTGCGTGCACTTTGTCGCGAATCGAAAATCCTTGAAATTAAACAGATTACGTGGAGAGGTAATATGCATGTAATCAATACGCACGCACACACACACGTATACGTGTGTGTGCGCGCGCGAAAGTTACGTGTAAACCACCGACAATGAACTGCGGCTCGTGAACAGCTCTCTTTCACTCCCGGCGCGGCGCTCGCCGGCTTCTCAATAAAGCGCACGTAATGTGAAAAACAAAAGTTTTTATTAATGCGTTCCGGTAATGATTGCTCGCTCTCGAGGAAACTTTAATTCGCGGCCTCGCCGCGCATAAAACAGACCGCTTAAACTTCGTTAACGACCGAAAATTTATGTCTCTTGTACGCCGATTCGGAGCGGGGGAATCCCGGAAATCTGTACGGAAAATTAATACTGACCCGGCAAAAGTTCAATCTACCGCAATCGAGATAATTGAGCCAATTAATTTCGCGAGGTGGTAAGCAATATTACAGATTACAAAGCGATCGACGTCGTGCCATAATTGCCGGCTAATTATAAAGAAGCTGTTAAAGGGGAGATGTCGAAGAGGATGTGATCTATCGTTATTGTGCTCTTGCTTTCTTGAGATCGCTGTTTGAACGGGACATTTCTCCGCACATGAATTGCGCGCACCTTTGGGCGATCGGAGCACAAAAGTCCACCCCTTCGTTGCAAACGTGACATTCTTGTCGCGTATCGAACTACACATCGCTCCGAATTATAAAAAACAAAGTCTCGCAAAAATCGAACCGGTTTCCTTCGCCATTTGTTATTTCCTGTGCGGAACCGATTAGATAACTCTGTGAAATTATATTAAAGTCTTATTACGAAACTCCCGTATGATGTGGAGCCACCTCGTATTTATTGCGCTATACAGTATATATACATTGCAATTAAATTATAAAATTAATTAATTTTAGTATCGAGTCTTTATAAAGTACACCTACCTTGTATGAAATTTCACCGCGTGATTCGAAACAATAAATCGTCTATATAAATGGCTATTAATCGAGACGTCGGCGCAACCTTAGCAAATCGCTACCGTGCTTACGTAACGACACACTATCGTGTAACGTCAATCACGCGCCGACCAAAATGTGTCCTTTTTATCGGATATTAACGAATTTATTTATGACGCTAATAACACGATCGATTCTTTCAGAAAATGCGGGAGGCGGAAGCCCAGCGAGAGGAGCTGGGGAGGCAGCATGCGGACGCACAGAACCAGCTGCGGGAGAAGATAGCAGGACGCTATCAGGGTCCGGAGTCGGTCGAGGCGTTGCAGTCGAAGATCCGCGAGCTCGAGAAGAAAACCGAGCTGCAGGTGGTGAGGTACGAGGAGCTTTCGCTAGAGCTGACCAGTCTGAGACGTGCGCGCAGCAGGGGACCGGTCGCAGGGCATGTCACGTCCACGAGCGTCCCGACGGCAACTTGGCCGCCGACCGGCTCCGAGATCGATAGAATCATCGCCAAGATCGAGCAGGACAATAGGTATGCGGGTCGACAAAGCGGGTCTTTTTAATCGAGAGAAATTGGCTCTGCAAACTCGTCACAGCTGAGACCGTCGTTTCTCGCATATTCTATACGTTCAAGTATAAAGGCATTTGTGAATTTTTTTATTTATTTATTAATTAATTAAATAAATTCAGCGCCGGCAGAATGTTGCACGAATTGGACCACACGCGGAGCGCGATAACCACGCAGCAACCCTCGGCCACGCAGGTCATCCTTAGGTCCAGCTCAGAGAATCTTCCCAACCTCGGACATCAACATCCACCTCACCCCCACGCCCTCAACCTCGGGATGCCTACTCAGATGGGCCACGTATGTGATTCCTTTACGTAATATTACACAATTTTTCTCATTGATCTTTAGTCGAGAGGACTGAGAGAAATTTCAACGAGAATAATTACTTAAATAATTAACTTTCTTGTCGCAATCTGTACTAGTACTCTCTCCCTCCGGCATGCTTGTTGAATATTGACAAGGCCTATTCGAACAGTACGCAGGTTCACCAATGCCATTAACGCCGATGATGCCTGGTTGTCCTCCGCTGACGCCGAACGGACCACCATATCACTACAGTGAGCCGATACCGCCGGCACCGTCACTCTCCAGCAGTCAGTCGCAGCCCGCTTTCCAGCAGAAAATTCAACAGTACCAACAGTCGCAACAGCACGAGCTGTCGAGTTCCCATTCTCAAAGCGCTCTGCCATCTCAACAGAAACAGCAAACGCACACCTCACACTTCACAAGCAATCAGTATCAGGAGAGCTATCCACACACACAAACGTATCAGCAACCGCTTCAACAGCAACAGCCGCAGCAGCAACAGCAGCATCCAGCCTCGACCACGTACCTGACATCGGCCAGCCAGAGCGTGATACCTCATTATACACAGCCTGTCCAGACCGCCCAGAATTATCAGTTGAATGGGAGTCAACAGGTGTGTCGTCAATTATTCAATTATGATTACTTTCTTATTAGTAGGTTAACGAAGTAATGAATTCTCGAAGGCCTATAAATAGAACGGATAACACGGTTTTTAGTATCCAGTTTACGAAATATCTATCTCAAAATAGATTTCAACAATTATAAATGAACGTTGACTCAAGCGTTACGGTTTTGTTTTTAACGATGAGTACTTCTCTAATTTTAATTGTACCGTAATATCGCTGAAAGTAAGATATTAAGAGTTACAAAAAGAAGATTAAACTGACACAGATCTCACAACGATTTATTTGTCTCACCCGCAGGCAACGACATATCCTAGTTTGTCCATGGCCTCGCATCCAAATGGAACTTACAGCACGGCCGCGACTAGCTACAACGCCCAGTTGCCGCATCACAATTATTCCGTGCCGCAGACGAACATTACGCAGACAACGCTGTCCTCGCTGCCGCTGTATTCCACGCCCTATCATTCCACCCTCGGGCTCACGAGCGTACCCCAGTCCGTTCTTCCTTTCTCCACCGGTCAGAGCACCTTTGCTACTGGTAGTGGATCGACATACTCCACTACCGTCGGGACCAACGCTTTCGGGTCGTCGGGCGTAAGCTCAGGTCAGAAACTAATGCTCATTAAAGATTTAGTCTCCACTGCAATATATTTAAAAAGATAAAGAATAATTTTAATTTTAATCTTTATGGACACTTGTTTGGGTTTTCTCGGTGCGTTCTTGTGTATCTATCCTTATGTTGTAATCTTTCTTGTTTTATAATTTTGATAATGTGTTATTTAATCCGTCTATGCATGTACTGATGAAGACACAGTGATATTAAAATGTACGCTTTTGAATTAGTCAAGTACATTTTAGTCTTTACCCAAGCTGCTCGTCTTTATTTGGCTTTCACTTTGGTTAATTTGTTATTACGTACAACGAGCGGTTTTTCTTTTTATTTTTATTTTTTTACTGAATTTTGGTCGTTCTGATGATAACGTGTGCCTGTGCAGGTACTAGTTCGGGAGGTCTGTTACAAGCAATAGGCGATCCTCTACAAGCGATGCAGCAACTCTCCGCCCAGTCGCAGGCAAATCAGCTTCAGCAGCAGGCGATTATCCAGCAGATCCAGCAGAGCTTGCGCGCCAGTTCGCCGACCGCGCCCGGTACCGCGACCGGCCATCATTTTCTCGGTGGCCCTAGGCAAATGCCGAGGATCCCCACGAGTATACTGACAAATCCCCTGGACCGACTCACCGAGGACATTGTACCCGAGGGTCAAGTGGACATGCTGGACGTGCCCGGTAAAGGCAGATGTTATGTTTACATAGCTCGCTTCAGCTACGAGCCGTTCCAACACTCGCCGAACGCGAATCCGGAAGCGGAACTACCGGTCCAGGGTGGCGATTACCTCCTGGTCTGGGGCCAGCCTGACGAAGACGGCTTTCTGGATGCGGAAACGCTCGACGGTAGACGCGGTCTGGTGCCGGCCAACTTTGTGCAGAAGTTGGTCGGCGATGATCTACTGGAATTCCATCAAGCCGTTCTCGGCCTCAGGGACGTAGACGATTCTGCCTCGACGAATATCCCTCAAGTGAGCAATATGAAAGTTAACGAGGTACCCAGCCGGCGCGTTTATATTTGTATTTGTATTTTTGCGACAAATAAGATTAACAATACGATAGTACTGATGTACGAAAATGCTAAGAAGAAAATACGAATATTAGAAATATAATAAGACTTGATTTAGACAACGTTAGGTGATAGTAATAATTCTACTTTGATCTAATTTTAGTGCTATCTGCAAGATATTGATTTAGAATTAGCCGCATTGGAAGAAGGAAACCGGAATCGTCAAGCAGAATTATCCGCGTATGCGGAACTCGACAATATCGCGGAGGAGGATGAACAGGAGCCGCCAGGTTGGTATTCTTTAACAGTTCGTTGTGACGTTTTGTAAAACGTTGCATGACGCATGTCTTTAACTCTGAATTGGACAGTACTCAAACGTACGTTCTCAATCCAGTAAATATGTAGACATATATGGTACTTGGATCATCTCAACAAAAAAAATTAATAAATCCGCTTTTAGCGATGTGTTTGAGACAAGTGTACACGTTTTCAAAATAACGTCATGACGCAACCATAAAGATTTTCCTCTAGAGAAAATCTTCCACAATTCGTCGATCCTGCTTATTGTGTATGCACGTGTGTTCAATTCGATGTTGAACTTGCCAAATTATCATCGATTCCTGTCGCTCCTTCCTTTGCCTTATTTGTTGCACGTTGATAATTCGACATAAGAAGTCTATACACGTCACACGATAAGCGCCTGAACCGGTTTTCACGGAGTGAATAGTCACAAAATAAAGTGGGGAACACAGAAAACCGAATCGTTGCACTGTGTTAAGTGTTGGCTGGATTTAGGCTGGCTTAGAGAGATAGATAGTGAGAGATCCTTAGCTACAGCTAGGCTTTGTCTTTGTCTTTTCCTCCTGAAGAAGTCTACATGTTTTCGGACCTAGTTCCGGCGCCGCAGCACCTCACGCTCGAACGGCAGCTCAACAAAAGCGTGCTGATCGGATGGACCGCGCCCGACAACACGCACCAACTCGAGTCTTATCACGTCTACGTGGACGGCGTGCTGAAAGTTACGGTGAAGGCCACCGAGAGGACCAGGGCCCTGGTGGAGGGAGTCGATTCTACACGGGTTCGTAATAAAACTTTTTATTTATCAGAAAAGAAAATGTACAAATCTAAAAAGAGAATTTTCTAAATTTTAATTATAAACTAATACGATTATCTGTTATATATGATGTAATAAAAGAGGTAATTTATCTACAGTTTTTTGGACTGGCACATGAAGTTTAAATAGTTTTAGATTTCAGGACACACAGAATGAGGGATTAAGTTATAAAAATATCATATGTCTTTGTTTATATAACTTATTTTCATTGCCCCGAAATTGTTCTTTCGCTGATGCAGCCGCACAGGATAAGCGTGCGCTCGGTCACGCATTCGAGAAGGACATCGCGCGACGCCGCTTGCACGATGGTAATCGGTAAGGATAACGCACTGGGCCCGAGCGCCGTCAAGGCATCGAACGTCACGGCGACTAGCGCCGTGATATCCTGGCTACCCAATAACAGCAATCATCAGCATGTCGTATGCGTGAACAACGTGGAAGTGAGAACCGTGAAGCCGGGCGTCTACAGACACACCATCACCGGCCTGGCCCCGTCGACGATATACAGGGTGACCGTCAAGGCGAAGAACCTGCGGGCGACGCATTTTGAGGACCAAAATGCCCAGGCGGCGAACAACCAGGCCTGCCACGTCCACTTTAAAACGTTGAACAAGGGACTGCCGGATCCTCCGGTCGATATCCAGGTTAATATAAATATAATCATTTGGCATCCGTTTAAATCTTACTGTTGTAAAATTTTCCAGAATTGGGATAAAAAATTCTGGAGTTTCCCCGGAAACGGAATAAAAATTGAGCGATCAGGATTAGATTTTCCGGAATTTCTGTCAGCGATCATTAAGAAGAGTCTTTTCTAGGCATTAATGATGCGCAATGTTGTTGAATTTCCAGGTGGAGGCTGGACCGCAGGACGGCACTTTGCTAGTGACCTGGCAGCCTGTTGCCCTAAACGGTTCGGCCGTCACCGGTTATGCGGTGTATGCCGATGGTAAGAAGGTCACCGACGTTGACAGCCCCACCGGGGATCACGCGCTCGTCGACATACACAAGCTCATGGGTCTCAATCCGAAGAACATTACCGTCAGAACTAAGAGCAGGGAGAGTCAGTCGGGTGACAGTTGTGCAACAGCGATACCCTGTAGCGTGCTTCGGGGTGGTGCCACCGCTCACATGCCGCCGTCCCACGGTGGACTTCCGCACATGGTCGATCAACGGCAGCCCCACCAGTCCGCTATGGGTCCCCAGCAGGACGATCCCAGTCGTCATCGCATGCCCGGCGGCGTAGGTCAGCGATATCCAAACGCGCCCGTGCCGTCGCACATGAGACGGCACGTGGGCAACAGAGTAGACGCCCACGGTCAGGTTATCATCGAGACGGATGAGAATCTCTCCGACAAGGAGATTTATCCTGGACAGAGCATCCCCCAGATGGGTAAATATCCAGAAATATAAAGACGCGAGGGAATCTGGGTTCGACAGTGATTGACTTCCGTACGACCCAAGCTCCCCTGCGCGATTCATACTCTTACTTAATCGCGATTTTCAATTATCTCGTCTAGGAATTCCGGAAATCACAAAAGATTCTGCGAGCGAAGCGAATTATAGCGAGGAGGACGATCCCACGCGTAGATCGCGGGGAATGCCACCACAGCATCATGGCCCCCATCACCGATATGGCCCGCAAATGGATCCTCAGGGCCCGCCTGGAGCACATAGGTCTCCTAGCATGGGCGGTCCCAGCAGTAGACCTGCACAAGACCCTTATTATGACCAAACGGGTAGATATAATGGCCACTGTGTTGCTGTGATGGAATTCTTTGCATTCTTTGCCTCAATCTGTCATTTCGTTTCTATTCTAATTAATTACTTACTTTCGACAATTGCTCTTTATATGTTACAACTCTGAAGATAAATCCTGAATGTGATGTGTATTTACATGGCACTTTTCTCCTCTTCCGGACTCTCAATTCTCTCGCTGAAGCATTGACGTAACATAAGAATTGTACTGTGTAATCGTCTATCAACCTTAAGTGTACAAAATGAATTCACGAGTCACATGTTATTACCTCCATTTCTTCTTTGAATTTTGCTCAGGAGCTCAAAGGGGGAGAGGACCGGTTTATCGTAACACTGGTGGACGAGTAACACAGGCTCAAGGTGGAGTGAGTCACCCATGTAGCTCGAATGTAGCTCAACAAATGAACAAGAGACAACGGTGGTTCGTGGCGTTATTCGACTACGATCCTACGACCATGTCACCGAATCCAGACGCGTGTGAGGAGGAATTACCATTTTCTGAAGGCGACACCGTCAAGGTTCTTATCCTATATAATTCCCGCTTCAATCTTATTCAACTACCATTCTTATTTAATATTTGTATTTATTAAAATTATTTTAATAAATCAAATTTCAATTAAATGTTTGAAAGTAAAAAATTATTAGCTGTCTTGCAAAATTTTTAATAAATTTGAAGTACATTGAATTCCACCAATTTGACTCGTGTTTATATCTGTAAATTCTGTAAATAATAATCACTGCATATGAATTGCATGAAACAAAAATCTTATATAACGTGTTTATCTTATAGGTGTACGGTGAGAAAGATGCCGATGGCTTTTACTGGGGCGAGTGTCGCGGTAGGCGAGGATATGTTCCTTACAACATGGTGGAGGAGCTAAAAGAGCCACCAGGTCAGGGTCAGCCTAGCAGAAGGGGACCTGCACAGAGCGAGAGATGGGGAGACATTTATGCGAGCATGCCCGTGAAGAAAATGATAGCCCTCTACGATTACGATCCTCATGAATTATCTCCCAACGTCGATGCTGTAAGATTTTCATCCTAATACTCAAAATTCACCATTATTTAGATACGCGTTTGGAATCTTAAAAATTCGCTAACCGTCCACAGTTGATTGATTGTCACATTTGTACATTCGTACAACGATTTTGAAGTTTTCCCATTTTCATTACTTGCTATTGATCGCCTTAATTTTGCAGCAAGTCGAATTGACATTCCAAACCGGAAACGAGATATATGTCTATGGCGACATGGACGACGACGGATTTTACATGGGCGAGCTGAACGGTGTACGCGGTTTAGTGCCGAGTAATTTCCTCACCGAGGCACCCGGACAGAATCAGGGGCAACCGCCGCAGGGTAGCAGGCGACCTGGCGGCCAGAGCCAAGGGCCGGGCGCGAGGGGGCCACCGCCACCTCCTCGAGAACCACCCCCGGCCGGTCACCGACGTGGCAAAGGTAAACACACGCAATCAGATACCATTCATATACATCAAATCCCCCTTATAGTACCGATTATCAGGGCATGAATAGCTCCTCAAGCCAAGGCGACATCGGAATTAACTATGCGTTCTGCACGGAGAAAAAGGTTTGCTGGTCTAAAAATATTTTACATTATTATAGCATATTCGGATTGTTATATGGACAGTCACAAAATTCGTTCAAAGAGCTAATTTTATTTACTGCATTTGTTTGTGTTTTGCTTCGCAACGAATTGGTGTTTTCGCGAATTCACTCGGCGAGATTTTTTCAAGAGAATAGATCTCGTTGCAATGTCAATTATCAAGGCGGTAACTGCTTCTGATAATGAAAGCATTTTCACAGCTGCACATGTAGTAGCGACAACGGTTTTGCTTCGACAGCAAAATTCTTTTCCTCCGTATTGTACATTGATATTGTTTCGACGCTCCCACGAGTGTTTTGATGTAATAACGCAGCATCCGCAGCGCGATGCAAGAAGCGCAAAATTGTTAAGAAAAGCAATTGGTTTCCGCTGTAAGTTAGAGATTGCCGCGTGTCGTAATATTCAATCTCCTCGCGATCCGAGGCAACGGGATGTCGAGACTGGCTCGAGGGGTTGTTGACGTTTCACACCGACGCGACGCATCGTTTCAACGTTTCGAAGCGCACAGTCGGGGGGTGCAAAGATGCCTGGCGCCCACATCGTTCCGCGTCGAGTTACAATCGATAGCGATTATCGTGTCGCGTCGGTGTGCACGAAAGACGGAAAATGCAAGCGTCAAAAGCAACACAAGACACGAAACCAGATGTGTGCCAGACGACAGGCAGAAGGGCCACACACTGAATAATATTGTTAGCGTTGCGCGATCTGGCGAGTTCGAGTTACCGATTTTCGCAATTCGAGCCGAATGAGCATGCGGCGTATAATTAGATGGAATTATTTTGGAGGAAGGTGCGCAGACCGCGTGTCCGACACGCCCTACACGTGGCCCCTCGACGAGAGGGGCCCATCGTTGTGTCGCTTCACACGCACGCCGGTTTTACCAGCAAAGTGTACATGCGTTACCCACGCTCTCGTAGGCATTTAACAAGCGTCATGTTGTTCTGTTAACTGTTGCCCACGATCGTCAACGTTTTATTACACGTGTTTTATCACACCGATATAGAAATTCCCCGCGCGTCACATGTAAATATATATGAAGAGATTTTTTTGGTAAACGTCCGTGGAAACACGTGCTGTCATACACACGACGATAGATTATATATATATACATATATATATAATATGCAATAAAACACCAAGCTGCTTTCAATGTCTTCTATTATATAAGTATATATCTAACATATATATATGTTTATATACGTATATATGATTATATATACGTGTGTGTATACGTATATTTATATATATATATTTTTTTTTCTCTCCGGGCACTATCTGCCTCTGTTACTATTACTCTACGTATCTGTCCTATTCTCTCTGTCTATATTATATACATACGTATATATTATATATATTTACACTATATATATATTTATCGACTGATTATATACACACGATCATGTCGCTGTGATATATAACAGTTTACTTTATACCGACATGATCTGTTTCTGTGTGCCTGAACTGATCGATGGTCGTCGTGTCACATGATTGTCGTTCGTGTCGTGTTGTCATGCTGGCCATTTACGATTACGTTGATCTTCCATTTGTTCATTGATCGAACGGTACGAAGAAAAAGAAACCAACGGTAGACGGTTCGTGACTTTCGCCCAGGAATATCGGAGAACGAGCGGCGACGTTGAGACTCGCGTGACTTTTACGAGACCGGCTAAAGTGATTCCGGGACTCTTCGATTAAAATCGTTCGAATCGCCCATCGGAGCTTCTCGGAGCTCGCGGCTCCTCGGGATCTCGCATAGCATATACTCCGCCATGCTCGATCGACTCGAAGGAAAAGAGATAAAGAAAGTAGAGAAGCAAAGCAAAAAAAGGAAAAGAAAAGACAAGAAAAAGTAAGAGATAAATGCGCCATGAATGACAACACGGTTCTGTTCTCTTCTCTGTTGCTAGATGCCTGCATTGTGCCTGTGTCTGTCCCTGTCTGTCACTTAGACTCTAGACAACTACAACAACCACCACCACCATCACTAATGAACAACCAACAACATCAACTACAACATCAAAACAATCCACCGCATCTAGCCTACCAACAAGCGAATCACCACAGCTACACGACCGTAACCACGTCCAATCAGCATGGGCCCAGTCACTTGCCACCCGGCGGCGGTGTCATGGGTGTCCATCAGCAAGGTCCCGTACCACCCCACCTTCAGCAACAGGTGAGCCCGCTCCTCTTCCGAGAATTTCTTCGTGCGCTTATACTTTCTCTCTCTCTTTCTCTCTCTCTCTCTTTCTTTCTCTTCTCATGTGCTTTTTGTCAAACGTGTGTGCTTTTTATCCACACTTTTTGTGCGCTTCTTCTTTAGGTACACCGAGGTACACCACGCTCGACGACTGTCCGAGATCGATAAGTCGTTCTTGTTTTTCCACGCGTGTCCAGAAGTTGCCAATTTTTCTTTCGAAGAGAAATTGAGAGAGGAAAACTTGAGATTCTTTTTTTTTTTATTGAGAACACTGCGGGATTCTTGAGCGATTTCTTATTGCGTTTGCATTATTCGCTCAGGATGTGTCCATTCGACAGGATATTCCGTCAACTCCTTTGTTTCGTTTACTTTTTGCATATCAGATTGAGTTACAGAGACTGTAGAAGTTGACAAAAAATGATATGTATGGTAGTCCTGTATTTTGATGCATTTTACATGTCGCTCCCTGTGCTTCGCTGTCAGCTCTAACTCGCGATTCTATCTCTGCTATAAATATTGAATGATCCTCAATTCTTTTTGCATGGACGCAAACTATATTGCAAGGTATAGATACATACAGTATAAAAAGAGGCATTTTGATTATTGCATAAGGTAAAGTGAATTTTTTGAGAATTTTGCCAATTTTTCAAATGCAATGTGAACTGAAAAAATTCGCAAAATCACTTTCGATTAGGAAAATCTGACTGGCTATTTGAGTCGGTCATTTTACCTAGTCGTATGTGTCCTTGTTTTTGCAAGTACGAGCCGTGCTTTATTGCAAAACACACGTGCCGGACGTGACACGCGAGCTGTGTGTGCTCGTGCCAATGTATTTTCGTACATATATGCCATGTGAAACGCTTGAAATCGTGCAGCATGCCGTAGCGTCGACCTATTTGATCTCTCGTCATTTTAATAAAAATCATTGCGATTGAAAAGAGAAAAAATGTACCTCGCGCCTCGATAAGTCACCGTGACATGAATGTCCTAACACATATTCTGCAAGAGGACGAATCGAAGAGAGGCACAACATGAAAATCTTTATGAAGTTTCGTACACATCTTTATGTTGCGTTTTCTCTTTTAGCTCAAATACCTACATTCAGGATTTCTTTCTTTCGCCAATTAATTTTTATCATTACGTAAAACAGAAGTCATCACGTATCTCTTTCGAATTGCCGACATATTTATTTGCGTTAGCGAACCGTAGAATCTTCGGATTGATAGAAGAATAGCATCGCAGAAGTGACACTAGCGAGAAGTAACGATAGATTGCGCGTGATAGAGTTAGGCGAAATAAATAGACACGGTCTATTTATTCGTTAGCGATTGGACATCAGCAAAACAAGAAAGCGAGACAATTATTGTCGAGGAAAAGAAAAGATCGAATTAACCACATCTCTTTATTTTTAGGGGAAGGGGAGGGGCGGCGTGGTCAATCGGGTCGTTGGTAGTAACATGCCGGGTATGCAGGGTCCGGGCCAGCATCTCCAGCAGCAGGACTATCAAGGCCAGCAGCAGATGAATCAGCCATACCAGCAACAGCAGAATCAGCCGTACCAGCAACAGCAGAATCAGCCGTACCAGCAGCAGCAACAATTGGGCCAGCCGAGTCAAGGGTACTCGCAGCAACCGGTGCAACAGTTCCAGCAATCGCAGCCGCAGCAGCAATTGGGCCAGCCGTTCGCGCAGCAGAATCAACCGGGCGGCCTCGGGATGCAGATCGGTGGTCCCCAAAGCGCTAGCAAGCCCATGAGAGGGATACCGGCGGTGATACCGACGGCGCAGTCCAAGACGCAGCCTATGTCAACGCAGCAACAGCAGCAGCAGCCGCAGCAACAGAGCACCGGGCCGAACCTGATGCAGAAGTTCACCGAGATGGCGGGCGCAAGCGCGGGCGGCGATATACTCTCCAAGGGGAAGGAGTTGATCTTTATGAAATTCGGATTGGGCAAGTGAGGAGGAGTGATCACTGACGGCGTGACCGTGACGACGATAACGATCATGACGACACGTTGTCGCAATCGTTTCCGTTTCGCTCTCGGGCTCGACGTCCGCGTAAGTCAATCTCGTCAATCGAGCTGTGGAAATCAGTATTACGACGAACGTCTTTCGACGGCGGAAGATGTGCAATCTGGACGCGAGCTTGTCGGACGTTGTTGCTGAAGACAAAGAGGACAAGGCGGGGAAGAGTGCGCCGCCATTGCTGTTGCTGCTGTTACTGCTATTGTTGCTACTCGCTATTAATAATCGTTAACTACTGCAAAATAAAGAGGAACGTCGCGGGCGAATGTGAATCGAGGACGAGCCTCGCGATAGAGAAAGGGAGAAAAAAAACATTCGGTGGAGACTGCTCGAGATGAGAAAGAGAGGTGACCCACGCCGAGAATCGACCGACCGATCGAGAAGAGACAAGAGATCCGTACAAGATTCATCGAATTTCTTCTTAATCTTCCTTTTCTGAAATCTTCTTCTGCTACTTCGTCTTCTTCTTCGCGCGACCGTAGGATCTTCGATCGGTGCTGCACGGTCCATTGAAGAGATACTTGTCGATTGCTCGTCCACCGAATCGTCGCGAAATCTCCTAACGTACACGAGATCAATCAATGTCACGGAATGCTATATGCGAAATATATTTCGAGCAACGGTACATCAAGTCATGTAAATTACGTATTTGCGCGACTGTTTCTTCCTATCTCTTCTTGTCCTCTTTGCGTTATTCAGAGAGCCGCTCGGTTCTCAGAATAAAACAAAAACCTTCGTTGCGATGCGGATTGTGCGTAAGAGAGAAAAAGAGAGAAGCATCCCGCGTTAACATAAATTCTGTATATGCAAAAACGAGTCACTGGTTAAGCAAAGCCAGAAGTCGGCACGTGGACGGAAGAGAGAGGTAGAGGCCGATCTACAAAGGGATTATCATATCGCCGTATAGGAGTGAGGACGCGACAACAACGTGGGTGTGCCTTGGGAGAACCGTTTCACCCAGCAGCAAACCAATGATCATATCTCTAATCGATAATTCTCTAGCTATGTTCTTCTTTCTCTCGTGGAAATCGAGCGCGCTATATCGAGAGCCGTAGCGGCGCATACACGAATAAACGATGACGATCTCTCGTCTTGACAATTTTCTCTTGTTCCCGTGTGTGTGAGACTGGAAGTCCCCTTCTTCCCCTCCCCCCCCCCCTCTTCGCGTATTCCCTTACATTATTCCATGTCCTTCGCTTTTATTCCAGCATCTCAGAATGAACCTGCATGCGGATGAAAACGTCCGGACCGCGAGAAAGAGAGAGAGAGAGTGAGAGAGTGAGAGAGATCCTCGAGCCTCGTGTTTCCAGCCGCTCGGATGAATCTCGGAATCGGGATCGCCTGTTCGAATCGGAAGAGACTCGAACGAATCCAAGACGATGCCCGAGGGTGAACGGTGACGTGGCCGTTTATCGTCAGACCCGTCTTGAATGGCGCACAAAAATCAGAGTATAGAGCATCGTCAGACACCAATGAAACGCAGACACGAAACGCTACGATCCTTCGATCGGGGCGGGCGAATCGGCCGCGTATCAAACGATAACTATATATCATAACTGTGTGCATGTGTGCGTGTACGTATGAGAGAGAAAGAGAGAGCGAGAGACAGGCGAGATGGAACGGGAGATCATAGCGTATTAAATGGTAACGGGATATACATATATACATATGCATATACAGATATACATATATATATATACATATATATTATATTTAACTATTGCAAAGTGTTGTTACATCGCTACTTGTATCGTATTTTGTACAAAGTATCTTTACCTTCGATTGTTTTCTTTCGCCAAGATATCTTTAGCAAAAAAAAATATATATGGCGGAGGAAGAGCGACGAATCTTTTCCGGATCCACTATCGAATCATTCAACATTGTCATCAACATTAACTTCATCCTCAACATTACCCTCATCGCCCTCATTATTCTTATCATCATCATCATCGTCAACATCCTCATTATCTTCATTAGTATTGTCACCCTAATCATTATCATCACACCGGTATTAACGTCACGCCGTTGATGCAATCTTGTACTTAATTGTTATTACTCGCGCCTGTCCTGTGTATGTACTCGCTTTACGTATGTTTTTCGGTGACGGTGAATATACATATACAGCGAGACAAGCTCGAGATTTTGAGAGGAAGAGAGCACCGCGTAGGGAGATAATCATTCCCATCGAGAAACGAATCAATTTCCAGAAAACTCAAGATCGCGATTCAATCCTTTCACCCCCATCGGGGCACGCATGTGCCCACCGCAGCTTTAATAATTTTTTCGGGGACAATATATCTCGATAATGATGTTACAATTACACTTTGTTAGAATTTAGAATGTATCCTAGGGTGACAGTGAAAGGGCTGTTATTGCGACGTTCAGAAAAATAATGCGACATAAAAGTAACGTTGACTCTCCGACATAAACGGAACAACGCTAATGAGACGCGTAATAGAAACATAATGTATACGTCATCATGGACCAAGACGAAATCTCTAACGTTAAAGAAAAGTCGGAATTCGCCGTCTAAATAAAATTATCGAATAGCTCGTTCATCGTAATCAGTCCGCGGTTAGATGTCTCACGACTCACGATGATTTGTTGTCGATGAGAGTTTTCCATGCGCAAATTGTTAAGACTGGAGAGAGAAACGATTGTCAACAATTATTTAAATAATGAGATTTTTCGCAAGCGCGCTGTAAATATTAAGATATAGAAAATCAATTGCGACAAACGGACGTGTCTCCCTAACGCGGTGCTTCCATTACACAAGCTTACGCATGAACGATTACGTGGAGTGTGAGTCTGTCTGAATCAAAAAGTAGACAGAACCGGTACTCGAAGCATCTCTTGCTTTTATCTTTCATTTTATCGTTGCCTTGTCGCGTGATACGTGATGATAGTACTCGGCTTCGAAAACGTGCGCGTCCGACGTTCGACCGATCAGATCCGGTCGTGTAGCATCGGACGATCGCGCGAGAGACGCGAGAGAGTCTCTCGCTTTCTCCGCGACTATTCGCGTGAATGGAATCGCGAAGATATCGACGCATCGTACCTAACTGATTTGCAACGGCGGGGCACCCGCTCGCAAAGTTTATTTTCACCGAGTTGTATTTTTTCAATTGTACATAAACGCGCGCTTTGAGGCGAAAGAGGAGAATATCAATGCTCGTTTACGGAACTACACGACTGGACGATTCGGGTGGTAATCGAGTGGAAAGTGATATCGACATTATTTATTAGAGCACGTGTCCCCCTTCGTATAGCTTCTGCGGCTTTTTGTTCCTCCCGTACTCCACACCTCCCACCCCCCCTTCCCCTTACAATTGACAATTTTCGCACTGTATTACGACGAGCGAACTCATATCCGACTAGTAATCTTGATTCAGGCGATGTGAAAAAAAAGACTGATACCGAAGTATTCCGATGCCGCGGGTGATTATAACGAGTACCAAGACGCTAACGAGTGTGTGTGTGTGTAATCTCTCACATATGTCGCGGTCGTTACGTGTCTTTCTTCGATTGTTTTCTGCGTTATCCCATCGTATCTCTATAATATAGCCGTATATAGTTCTCTTTCGCGCGAGCGAGAAAGTATACATATTTGTTACGAACTTAAAATTGATTATAGGCGTAAAGAGAGGAAAAGTAAGAGAAATGACAGAGAATTATAAGAGGAGCATCGACGCGAGATGTCGAGCGGGTTCCGGCAGGAAGCGGGTCTTCGAAGAAGAGAGGAGATTATTGTGAGAGAAGAAAAGGGAGAGAACTCTAATCGTCGATGCGGCGCGCACACATTAGTGCTTTTACTTACGGTACAAAGTCGAAGAAAGAGAGAGGGAAAAAGGGAGAGATAGGGGGGAGAACGAGAAAGAGAGAGAGGAGTAAGCATTTTTACTTATCATCGTTAGACTTTTAGATATGATCATCCTAAAACGCACCTATATGACTTTCACGCGAACGGACTCATTGCATATCTCGCGTCAAGACGTTCGAACGGGGTCATCACGCTCATCCTCTTCGCGCGGTCTAGACCAAGCGCCAGCGATACGACAGCGATTCGATCGTTTAACGAGAACAATAAAATAGCGAGACGCGACAAGACGATCGAGCGCGGGTAGAATTACGCGGCGACTCCGCTCCTCAGAGGCTTCCGATCCGTCATTGCGTCCCAATCACTGGATCACATCTACGAATTGTCTCCTCGAAAGTCGTGATACTCGTGTGTATCGCTGCAAGTCTGAATTCTCGATTGATCCGCGTCCAGTGTATGATTAAATGGCTCTAATCCATCCTTTAATCACCATAACTAGTGGCGTGCGTCTTACAGTGTCCCTATCAAATGTGAATTACTGTCTGTAATGTTTCATATGTACGTATATCCGGCAGCTTCTTCGTTGTAAGTTCCACCGGAGGTGTATGTTAATCCTTTCCTTCTGTGCGATCGTGATGACGGATCGTTGGTCTCAACTCGAGCGGTGCCCAGCCACGAGTCTACTGATCACATCTCGGGATCGAGCCTCACACCTCTGTATAATCTCATACATTCTTATCGTTACCGACTTTTAGCCTCTGAATGGGACGACCCGTGTAGCTCTTTTGATATCGTGGCGATCGGTGTCGAGGATGATAATCGACTGGCGAACGAACGAACAAGCGAGCGAGCGAGCGTGCGTGCGTACGTGCTCTCGAATGCTGAAAGGAACGCAGGTGCGCCCCAACAATCCTTCAACAATTTTCCGGACGTTTCTTTCGGTCTTCGTAGATACCTTTAGGCGTAAGGCACTGGGTTGATTTCACCTACTAGGTGTCGAATAGAATTAATATAACGCCCGCCCTCCGCGCATTCATACACACGTATACACGAACACACCCCAGGCCGACACGTGTCGACGGCGACGCACGGGTGTCCGTTTGAGAGCACTGCTGTCTAAGAGCCGGTCCTCGACAGTGTTTTTCGCGTTTAAAACCACTTTGCAATTGATTCTCCGTTTCTTCACGAACACTGCGAAATTGTGCTTGTGAGAGTACTCGAGTAAAATTTAGCGATTGTATTTTTTATTTTAATTAATTTTCAAAACAGTTTTATTGAGCAATGATTATTTTAGGAGCTTGATCGAGATCGCGTAATTGGAAAAAATTCCCGGTGCTATCTTGAACGGACACCACGCTTTAACGAGGTCGACGACGATCGTTTCTGGGATCCGCGGACTTTCGTTTCCGCTAGGAAAGCTTCATTGACGGAGGGAAAGAGCGCTATAACGAATCAAAGTGACTGACAGAGGGGCGGTGTAAAGAGGAGGCTACGAAGCTATCCGAACGGTGTTAATTAGTCGCCAATTATTGTCATTCTTTCTCTCGTGTCGACATTAAAGACGTATGAAGCGGGAGCAGAAGGTAGCGCAAATCGACTATATAACACGTTTCAATATAAACGAAAAAAAATAATAATAAAAAGGAAATATATCGCGTCGTCTCTTAAGCATGCCAAGAGAGAGAAACGCCCAGCTACGTTTGTCATTCAGTAATCTTGCGCTTTGTTTTTTCTATGAATCGGTGCGCGACGATCTTACTCCTTGTTAGATCGAGGTGATGAGAAACAGGGGGAAAAAAATGAAGAGAAAAGGGGAGACTTAAGAGAGCCCACAAGAAACACACTCACAATGTTATTATAAACGATTAATTAATAAAAAACGAATCTTGTTTGTTGTTACTTCTGGTATACCTCGTTGTGGACCACCGCACCGATTTATCGCATCCGCTAGTTGATTCAAAACTTTCGAGTTTTCCCTCAGGCTACGATATTTCTTTCTGTTTTAGAAATATTGCCCCGAGCCTGAGGTATATAGCGACGGTTGTGGACGAGTGAGTAACTGAGCCAGAAACCGGAAACCAGAATGCTCAATCTTTATTTAGTATGTATCATAATGGGGTATACAATATATCGAATCGATATAGCTGTCACGTCAAAGAGTATTGTGGAACTATGGATATTTGTTGCGTGACGATAAAGACGATCTCCTCGGGATGACAATCTACGTGTCTTCCTCCCAGACGGTTTCCGTGAGTATGGCGATGTTGTCCAGGCCACGCATCGGTGCGTACTCGAGCGTCCACATCAAGTTCGTGAAGACGACTGCGACAATGTTACGAATAATTTACCAACGAGGTAATATCGTTGCGAGCTACGTCATTGTCGCGGAAAACGCACGAGTCTGATACACGAGATAGTAAAGTCTCAATGGAATCCGCGAGATTGTCCCTAATTTTATCATTCGACTTTAGATAGGTCTTCAATAAATAAATATTTTATCTGATTCCCAAGAGGTAAGATCCTATAGATACTTGTGGCTACTGTAATTCAAAGGGAATTTCTATCGTGAAGAGAATAGAATTGTGCATGCATCGCGAATAAAATACAATTAATTCGGGAATCTCGACTCCTCGTGGCAGTGATTGACAATATGTTCGGACAATACTGAAGTTTTAGATTAAGATAAAAAAAATATATATATATCGATTCTTGTTTTGAGATTAATTATCCGATAAATGGATAATTAATATAATAAGCGAGTTTTTAATTGGAAATTCGATTCATTACAGCCCAATCCCCTGTTTCACCCGCCGACACAGTGCAATTTTGACTGGAAATACGGAACACCTTTTGGCCAGCAAGTAGAATTAAGAGACAAGTATATATAATTGGACAATTGTACAACTCACTAGAAATACTTGAATGTGGCCCTTTCAGCACGTCAGCTGGCTTATCGTGGGCCAATAAAGGTGCTCCGGACTTCAGTCCAATTTCAGTCGCGACACTTACGCATCTCGCCCTGATGCAGATCGGCGATCAGTTCAGGACACGAACTGTTGCAGGGATTTATAGGGGTGAGGCGCAGTTGAGTCGCGCCGCGGAGCTGAGCGAGGGCGATCAGGCCGGAGTCGAGCTCGACCTTCTTGTAGCTCGGGCTGTTGTAGTCCGAGGACATGAGCACCCAGTTGAAGTGCGCCGGCGAGACCGTGCTGGAGAGAAAGTACGGACGTTGATAGTACTTTCTGAGCACCTTCACGGCATTGATGTCGCAGTTCTGCCAGTGGACGAACCACTTGGCCACCTCGGGCGCGTGCACGCGTCGTAGAAACGCCGCGAGGTCGGACGAGCCGGTACGCAGATTCGAGGTCAGGGCGCAGGGTACCGTCTCCATCAGCCGCTCGTTCTCTAGGTAGAGCTGTTTGCGTCGAAAAATAGTGTTTCTTCACACGGAATCATTTTTTTGCAAAAGTGTCACACAGTCAGGAACTCTTTGCTATGACAATCTTGAAGATAATTTAACTCTCGATAAGTAAACTCTATATTTCTCCCCTTCAATTCGATTCCTGAAGAGGTTGAGCGTTTATAACAAGGCGGCAAAACTCTTTTACTACTCACGTGAGTAATATTGTCGAACCAGAAGTAGTCTGTATTCATGACCGCCCACGAGTCCATCGCGTCGGTGATGATAGCCGGTGCGTCGCGATTCAGATAATTGTCGACCAGATTACGATATCGCACGTCCGACAGACGATCAATCGTCTCCAGCGCCTCGCAGGTCTGCAAGAAAGTCCTCTGTCAATTATTCCAGTGTAAATCTCAGGTACGATCTTACAAATTTTCCCTCAAAATGCTTCCAGAAACCGCGACTGAATATTTTTCCCAAGGGTAACGATGATTTTTCTTATCCTGAAAATACAGGGCGTACCACGCAGTCCTCTTCCGTGATGGTGTAATCGTTGTAGAAGGGATTGTTGATCATGCAGTTCTCGTAATAGAGCGGCTGCCAGTTCCAGATCGGCAGGACTTTGATCAGCAGCAGACGGCTGAGGGCGGTGAAATGAGTGCCGACGAAGTCCAGTTGAGCCGCGAGACACGCCAGGGTGCCCAGTACTATCAGCACCAGGGTGCCACGGAAAACCAGCTGCAACCATGAGCGCCGCATCGCTGCCACGAGCGGCTGGCAAATAATGTCCATTTCTTCCTCGGTGAAGCCCGCCTGCTGGCAGTACCTGCGAGGAGATTTTGAGAATAACAACAAAGAAAAAAGATAATCGCTATCGTAGACTAAACTGTACAACTACCTTTTTCAAATCTGCCTCTTGCAAAAATAATTTTGCATGACATTGTACAATACTGTGATTTGGAAAAAATGTCTCAAAATTATCTCTGCTCGCTCTCATAGCTCTGGAATTATCGTTATGACGCGAAATCTTTTTATTTCTTTGATTTAGGCGACAAAAGCGGCGGTGTGGACAGAGGAAAGATCTGCTGTGACTCCACGAATGATCACGCATGCCGAAAGAGACTTGTTACTTGTAAAAGGAATTCAGCTCGTCGTCGATCAGCCTCAGCTTCTCGGAGTGCGTCATCTCATGCTGCTCCTTCGTGTACGCTTTGCGCGGCTGCTTCACACACTTGCTGCTCGACATCGTGACGGTTTCCTGCGACTTTCCGCCGACGTGGGACAGGGTAGCGCGGTATCGCTCCTCTCGCAGAAGCACAGAATTCCAGGATTCGCGGTGGAATAGGAACGGGCTCGTCGCTATCGAACCGCGACCGTGAATGCGCGCGCCTGTGTCTGCCCCCCACGTTATATTGATCGGCACCGTCGGCGTGCGGCCGGCGCGAAAACCGAGGGGAGGACAGGTTTTCGGACTTTTTTAAATTAATTTTTCATGAATCTCCGACCCACGCCTTTTTGATTAAACGACAGGGTTCCTCGGCGGACGCTTATATAAGAGCTAATTTTTTTCCTGAAGCTACAGTTTTACAAAACACGAAGGAATGTGAAACGTCGATAGAAAATTGGCATAAAAGCTGATTTGAAAATGCTACTTTATCGAAGCTTGTACGTTTCATTATCTTTGCCATCGTAATTGTACGTATTTAAAAGAATTTTTTTGCACACCAAGACATTAGATTATACAGACGGAGAGGCCAACAAAATGTACCTTAAATGCAGGGCTGGGTAGTGTCTAGTTAAAAAGATAAGAGTTAAGTTAAAAAGTTAGAGTTAAATAATTTTAACTTAACTTAGTTACATTATAAACTGTTAACTTTTAACTGAATTTAGTTACATTTTATCGGTAACTTTTAACTTTAACTTTACCTCTCTCTTAGGTCCGGTTTTTCATTTTCTTGTTAACTGTTAACCAGAGATTAATCAATTCTCTGTCTCTTTTTTAGATAATAATATAAAGAAAGATAAAGAGTCGACTAACTTGTGGTTAACAATTAACAAGAAGTTATTCGACTCTGCATCTTTTTCTATGCTATTGTCTGAGAAGAAACAGGGAGTCGACTAACCAGAAAATGAAAAACCGGACCTTAAAGTTAGTCATGCCATAAACGGCATAAACGAAGGCGTCGCGAGATGCCGTCATCTGCCTACATTGGTCTGTGTCTCAAAATTCACTGCCAGCTCTAAAATCATTGACACTTTTAGTATGAATTGTTCGCCCATTCGTTATAATTTCGAAGATCTTCGTCTCGATCCTCGTGATTGCTTCTCTGTTTAAAATATTAGATAGAATATGATCAGATTACATTAAATTACATTAAATAAAAGTGTTATTAATTTACATTAAAATTGCATGTAATCTAATGTAATCTGATCATATTCTATCTAATACTTTTAACAGGATTTCGATGAGGAATACTACATGATCGAGACCGCAAAATGAAAGGGGCCAATGGTGCCAAGAGAGTGAACCTGCTAGTTAGGCTCTGTCCTTTAAATTCGTTCCCGCATCAACTTGTTTATCGGCCGATGATATGCAGATTCCATAACAATCTGCAACTGGTGTACAATCTTACGACCTGGCTTGTCGCGTAAACAGAGAGAAACACTGCTGCATAATTTTAACGTGGGCAATTATTAATAGCATTCCGTATAATTTAACGTAGACGTATGTGTGTGTAGAATATATCGTGCCGTATGCGATTGATTGTGCTCTCGGGTCAAAGTTCGGCAGTTTGGTACGGAACAGCTCCACAAATCGAACGTCAACGACGGCACAGACAACAATGGCAATGCAGTGCTTGAGATTACTCGGTGAGAGTCAAATATTTTCCAATTTGTAATTTTACTGCAGATGGATTACTATTGAATGCTGATTACGTTCGCAGCGAATAACGTGCCTAGAGGTGCGTGCACCGCCAGCAATGCCAGTCGACACATTACCTCGCTTTCCATGCTGCCGGATACACATCAGATGCTGTACAAAACGTGCAGGTAATGTAACAACAAATTGCATTCATGTACTTTGTACATAAATTACTTGCTGCTCAGTTGAACAAAGTTTATCATCGCCATAAAACAATTTGCAATTACAGGGACTTTGCCGAGCAGGAATTGAAGCCTATCGCAGCGGAGACCGATAGGAAGCATCTTTTTCCAAAGGAGCAAATCAAGAAGATGGGCGAGTTGGGTCTCATGGGTTTATGCATCCCTGAAGCGCTGGGTGGACCAGGATTGGATTACCTGGCCTACGCTATAGCCATGGAGGAAATCTCCAGAGGTTGTGCGAGCGCTGGAGTTATAATGAGCGTGAATAATTCCCTCTACTTGGGCCCTATATACGCGTTCGGGACTGACAAACAAAAAGAAAAGTATATCACTCCTTTTCTCAACGGCGAGAAGGTCGGCTGTTTCGCTCTCAGTGAGCCGGGCAACGGATCTGACGCCGGTGCGGCGTCTACCACCGCCAAGCCGGACGGTAGCGTTTACACGATTAACGGCACCAAGTCGTGGATAACGAACGCGTTTGAAGCCAGTGCGATAGTTCTCTTCGCGACGACCGACAAGTCCAAGAAGCACAAAGGTATAAGCGCTATTGTAGTCGACAGTCCGACGGCGGGCCTGAGTCTGGGCAAGAAGGAGGACAAGTTGGGTATACGAGGCAGCAGCACTTGCTCCTTGATCTTCGAGGACTGTCAGGTGTCACATGACAACATCTTGGGCACACCAGGAATGGGCTTTAAAATCGCGATGATGACTCTAGGTACACGATCGTAGGGCACGCGAATTTTAACTGTTAATAATTAGTCGATGCGACACATGTAATCGTCTCTACAGATGCTGGCAGAATAGGAATCGCCGGACAAGCGTTGGGCATAGCTCAAGCATCCCTGGATTGCGCGATAGATTACGCAGCCAAGCGCCAAGCTTTCGGCCAGCCGATCGTCAAGCTGCAGGCAATCCAACAGAAAATCGCCGACATGGCTCTGAAACTGGACAGCTCAAGACTGCTGACGTGGCGAGCGGCTCAGCTTAAGGACAACGGTAAACCGTACACGAAGGTGCGTTATGAATGTTGAAAGATGTAATTGTTACTTCATTCTACTGGACTATTTACGCTGGATATAATGTTCCTTGTGTTATATTTGATTATATTTAATCTTATCCCATTGTATATATATTTTTTTCTATTGATTACATTTTGTGTATCTTATCGGATAAACTTGCGCGCTTGCACGAATGCAGAAATCTTCAAGTAATCACGATATCTTAAGCTTTAATCGGTTTAATCGTCAATGGATCAGCAGCGAGATAATTTTTGAACGAGAAAAAAAAAGATGGGGTAACTTTCACAGAGAATGAACAGAGATCTCTTCGGGATACAAGACCTCGAGTGAAAGGCCTAATGAGAGCCAGATTGCAGATGTGAAAATATCGGTTGCACGACTGCTTCGCTGAATTTTATGCGTCCATCTGTCTCTCCTCAGTCGCAAACTGAGAAGAGTCCGAAGCGGATATCAAGCAAATTTGCCACACATCTGGCGACCTGGCTCTCGTTATTTTTTTTTCATCTACCATCAGATTAATTTCTTATTCGCTAGGAAGCCGCTATGGCCAAACTGTCGGCATCGGAAACCGCCACGTTCTGCGCCCATCAGTGCATACAGATTCTGGGAGGGATGGGATACGTGTCGGATATGCCGGCGGAACGTCATTACAGGGACGCGCGCATCACGGAGATCTACGAAGGCACGTCGGAGATCCAGAGACTCGTGATCGCCGCGAATCTCGTCAAAGAGTACGGTCTCAATTGAGATCGCACGGCTCACGCATGTAAGATAAATCCTCCAGTATCTTTCTTTTATATCCAAAGAGAGAGCAAAATATATATTTTGTACGTATTGCATCTATATTAGAGATTTTGTATATATATATATTAATTAGTTATATTTTTATATGGAGATAAGTCGAAATAAATTTCATATGCTATGCCTTCTAATTTTATTAACTGTTGACTAAATATTTAACTGGATCGAGAGACATACGCACATACGCGCACACACACATACACATACACGTACGTATATACGTATGTATGCAAGGAAAGGAAACGCATTATACACGTGCATATATACATATATACACATACACATCTGGTACGTCACTGTTAGCCCTTTGGCAGCGATACGGATATTTTTTTCCACTTTTTTTTTTCTTTACACCCACGACTCTTTTCTACCCTGCTTGTCGTACGTCTAGGAACAGCTAGAGCCTATCTATTTAAATAAAGTAGCATTATCAGTAGGATAACAGGTGTAGTGTGAACCCGCGTACGTGTGTGAAACTCTCATGTCTAAATAAAACGAATGAGTCGCAGTTGTGGGAACAAAGGCGGATTCCATTAAAGTTACGAGCTTGTTTGAACGACACAGACGTGCCTTATTTCGATCGGATTTCTCTCGTCGATAAAATGGCGAATAAATACGTGTCCGGTTTTCTCTGTTTCTCGTATGTGTCTGGTACATTGAGTACAAATACTATGTGCACCGTCACGTCTACCACTGTTCGTATGTGAATACGAAGATAAAAGGCTACCTTAGACTACATGCCTTTCCAACGAGAAAATGCAGAGAATACAGTTACTTTGTGCAAATGACAGTTAAATTATACACTCCGTTACTGTTTGCCATTTTCAAATCTTTAATCGTATATTTAATTAGAGGTCCTATCGCTAGGTGAGAACGCTGCTGCGATTACACATTAGTGTCCAACCCATTAAAAGACTCTTTACTCTCATTCAAGGATTCGATTTGGCGAAAATAAGTATAATTATTTTCAAAACGAACTCTAAAGCCCTGTCTTGGGCGAGTTTTGTTCTTGTCATGCCGGACGATAGACACACAATTTATCCTTTTCATCGTTTTACAATATTTCTCTCTCAATACCATACAACTAAGGAAAGACTTAAAATTTAAGGACGATTATAACAGCCTGTAATGGGTTACGAGCAGCGTCCCAGAATACTTTGTCGGTTGTACTCAGAGATCCATTGGAATGCAAAGAAACATTATATATCTATCTATATATATAATTTGAATTTCATTGTGTATGCCTCTCTTTCTTTTTTTTTATATATATACAATAACGCACCCTTTCGCCGTTCACCCACTGTCACCAATATTGAAATAGCCTAAACTCTCTGCTTCTCTACAATATGTGTATATGTATATCAGTGTGTGAGCACTTTACATAGAATACATCACCTGCCCCGTTCTCAGTAAACAATTTAGAGTGTATGTTAATACGCCACTGTTAGCATCGCAGTATAATTAAAAAATCCATCAGTTTGGTTCTAACTTTTTACGGGATTTACATATACACGTCTCGCGCTCGTTGAACAACGAGCGGAACGAAAGAATAGAGGAACATTATAGGTTGATATCCTATCGTAGTACCTTTGCCTCGCGCGATCACCGAGGATCTCGCGAAATAACTATAGATACACATTTAAGATCCTTAGAACTTTTTTTTCGAATCGAGCTTCCTGATCACATACACTTTCGTAGAATTGAGAAAATACTCTCGGGCTCTCTTCCGAAAATATACGATCTAATACATTACACTTTCGGTTGAAATAATAGTTCGAAATTACAGATTGTTAATATGCAACATTTAGATTTTCAATTGTACATTAATATATTAAACTGTGGAATTTTTAACTATTTAACTACGATCAAACTCGCGATGTTAAATCACATATTTCCTTCGTGTTTTTTTTTTCCTTTACGTACTCCGCAGCAAGCATTTTCCTCGTTAATTGAACTTCAATATCTATTATTATCGAACTACGAACTGCTGTTAAGTAATCATAATTTTTTTTATCTATGACGGTTTTCACGAAACCAGATTCTTTTCATAATTATGCATTAACCAAGAGAACCAGAGATGATTCTGATTCCTTCCATTTGTCTCTTTTTTTTTATAATAATAACTACATTATAATAATCTTTGACTGTAGATACATTTATCTAAAACGCTTGTAAATGTAAAATAAATTAAAATAGTAAGTAATTTGTAATAGACACTGAATCTAGACACGTAAATTCCAGAAATCGTCCGAATCCTGTGGAATCGTCTATGACAGAGCGTAACAGGGTGTACATCTGTAGGTATGCGTCTGTATTTGTCTTGACATGTATAAGGAAATTGATTTAACCGTTCATAATAGAAGCTATCGAAGCCTCAATCGTCAGCTCGCATACCCCGTACTTCACCTTGATGTCTTTGCTGCAATTGAACAGATTTTCCACGTTTCAAAAGGTTTCAAAATATTCCTGACTTTTGTCAGAAAATTCGCACGAGGCAAGAAAATAATGGGACAGATTGGCACCGGAAGAGCCGGAGAGAAAGCAAAGTTGCTTACCCTGTCTAATTCTTCTTTCGTATTGTCTTCGATTGCTCTAATATCCTCCATGGTTAAACCGTACCAACGGTCTATCCAGCAGAACACTTGCCTATGGAAATTGGTGAACAGGCGCCGTTCCGCCTTCTGAATGAACCCCTCGACGCGAGTCTGCAGACCGAACCATTTGAATTCACAAGTGACTAGCTTGTAGCACGTCATCACAGGTTGAACATTATGCTTCCAGTCTTTGCCGACGAGAGGCCCCCGTCCCGTCTTCTGGGACTTGAACTTCGACGGATCCTCGTCCTCCTTGTAATCGGCATTAGCGACCGGATCATTGGCAATATCTATATGCACTACCTCTCTGATCTTAAGCTTGTCGGGCGGCAATTCGTGAACCTGTTGGTGAGAAGAAAACATGTAAATGACGTCCGGAGGCAGACTTCGTCGAGCGTCACTGGCACTTACGTTATGCTGATTGCCGACATCGCCAATATGAAAGGACTCTATCATAATCATGAAGTTGTCCTTCATATACCCTGGATTCTGCGGAAAGATCAAAGTAACGTTTACGAACGCATTAGAATTTATACTTGACTGTGTCTAACGATGATTGTACACGCAACACTTACAGTTATGACTGTTTTACAATAGGGATAAGCGTTCCAAGCCTCTTCGTGGATCTCCAACGAGTTCTTTGGCAGTAAAATGCGAATGAAAGCAGGCACTTTACTAGCTAAGTGATAAATCTTATATGTATATTGGCCTGACGAGTACTTTCCACCGAGCAACGGATAATCCGTAAACGGTTCATTCTTCAATACTTCAATGCCCTCTCCGCCGCCCGTGTTATTTTTACTAGCTTCCGCTACAGAATACAGTTGAGCTACTTGATACTGTCGGGAGAGAAAAGAAAGTAAACATATAAATTCTCAATAGTTCTCGAGGTAGGTTAAGCCGTTATATAATTTGGGCCATGAGTCAAACGCAGGCATGATTTATTGTGTACTTTGACTTGTTTTTCCAACTTTATTTCTTCCTGGTAGTTTATCAATCCGAGGCGCAAGAAAGAAAAGATTTAAAGTCCATCATAGATTCTATATCTCTATATAGAATTGATTTTTATTTTAGAATTGATATTGCGGTATCATTGATGAAATCAATTTTAGAATTGATACCGCATGCAACGACAATCACAAGTAGTAATCTCTCTTGAGCATCATGTTGTTATCCCCTCTCCCTTTCTCCCGAAGTGAGACAGATAAAGAATAGAAAAATAGGAACATAGTCCGACTAATAAGCAATAATCAAGAGAGACTTATGTGTTTGTGCGACAAAAAAGGTTCTCAATTACGAATGCATCATTGTTTATGCAAGATAACTCCACATAAGTACTCAAACAGGCGCGCATGCTGCGTGGAGGCTAATTAGATGATAGGCGAATTTTCTTGATTGCACGACGACGCTGCGGGATTAGTTTCAACTGTCTTTTTATGCAATTTAACGTCCAGACGGCTCTCGCACCGAGTTATTACGAGGAGCGCGTATCACTCCTGCGACAGATCAGGCACGTACCTCTTCCACTGTGACGGGCAGAGTGACACGGCTGTAACAGACAAATGATGGATTATGTCACCGTTACATATCGGGAGGTGAGGGAAGGCGAAGGAAATATATCGCGGATAACGCAATCGTGTCCTTGAGCTACAGGACGGAGGGGGCACGCGAGGTGCGTGTATCGCCCGGCCGATTTTAATTACATCAGTAATCGAAGCTGATCGATAAGCGAGCGAGGGATTTACGACCGGACGCGTGTTGTCGATCCGCATCGTACGCGGGCGACCGACGCCGGAGGGGCACAAAGTCGGCCGAGATTTTTCGTAAAGCTGCACTTTTTTTCCTCGCACTTGCCACTGCTGGCCAGGAACCATCGTACTTGAAATCTCAGCAAGCGGGATGGAGAGAGGGGGAGGGGGAGAGGAGAGAGAGAGAGAGAGAAGTGCAGAAAGTGCAGCCAGCGCGAGCAGACCTCTGAAATCATGCGGTAAGGGATGAGAGAGCCCACCATCCCTTCTCCCTCTCGCTCCGTCTCTCTCTTTCTTCAACCCTCACCCTCCGCCACCGCCATCAGTCGCCGTTAAAGATGAGCATTTATCGCGTCGAACGGTTTTGAATTTCGCTGCGCTGGCAACCCCCCCGTTGCCCCAGGGGCGAGAGGGGGCGAAATTGGGAAACCCGCGGCGCGGCGCGGCGCGCACCTGACGGCGCGGACCCCGTCAACCGTCACCGTCCTTCTGCTCCTTCTCACACCTCCGCCGCCCCGTCAACCATCCCGCGCTGCACTTACAATTCCTTGATGAGCATTTTAGTCAGCGGAGCACATGGACCAGTACAGAGCGTGCGATCAGCAGACGCGCCGCCACCGACGACGACGAGATGGAGCAGCGGGGACCCACCGACGACGTTACCGCACCCTCTCCTCGGCGGCTACCGATCTGACTCACGGTCTGCGCTATCGGCTCGCTATCGGCTCGCCGCCGCCGCCGCAGTGTCATACACCCGCAACGTGTGCGTCGAGCAACGCCGGACAGGACTCGCTAACCGACTGACACACTCCGGCCGAGACCCGCTCCGGCCGCGCTCCACGGTCCGCACCACCAGCAGCAGCAGCAGCACCGCACAGCGCACACCAGCAACCGCACCGCCACGACCGCGCCAAAGGAGCCACACACACTTGCGCGCGCGCCCGCGCACACGTGTACGATTTCGCGGCGGCGGCGGCGCCCCCTCCCTCCTCCTCTGCCCGCCGCCCGGCCGCCTGTCCGTCCTCGGCCACCTTCGGCCGCCGCCGCCGCCGCCATCGCCGACGATCGTCCGATACCCCCCCTCCGCAACCCCGCGGAGAACTTGGCCGCTGACGTCATTCCGCGAGAGGTTAGGCGCGCGTGCGCGCGCCGCCGGCCGCCACGAGTGCGCGTGTCGCGCCTTTCCGGGTAGTCTCGTGCGCGACCCTCGCGAGGAGAGTGTAATGTTCGAAATTTATATTCGCCACTGCGATATCCTTGCGCAATCCACGCGCGACCAGACGCATCTCATTTTCTTTACCCTTTCCGCGCGACGCGGCATGACGAATTTTAAATGAATGCGCATTATACGTTGGAGCCAGTCACACGAGTCTCCGTGCCTAGGGTGTTAGGGAGTCACGTTGGCTGTCCTGATCAATTCGCATTAAGGGCGAATTTTTAGAACGTCGCGCTTCCGATTCCCTTTACCGATTGCCGAGGAGAAAGAAATGTTGAACGCGGAAACATTCCGATCCTAAACTCATTTCGAGCGATACGGGGTTCAGGTAACGACGCTCAGGTAATTTTCTTAGCAATTGAAGAAGGAAGAAAAACGTTGAAGCTACAGCGGAAGAGATCACAGACTGCTTTCCCTTTACAGAACACAGGCGGATTCGGCACATCGTCGCTTTTCAGGATTTAATTCAGGACTTGGAATTCAATTCAAACTCAATCGGCACTCTTCGATTTTGCTCGGCAGGAGAGCCCGAGTGCGTTTTTAATCGACGAACGCATCCGCTCTCAGTATTTTGATAAAATCTCTTTATTCTTAAGCCGCAGACGATGCCATTTTTCTTGCTGGATTGCTTGCGATTTAGTAAATTACTATCGTTGCACCATTCAGCACTCAGGATTCCTAGTATAATTTAGTAAATTGCAATCAATCCAGCAGGAAAAATAGCATCGTCTGCAGCGGGCTTTAGATTGCAAGCAATCCAGCAGGAAAAATAGCATCGTCTACAGCGGACTTTACACAAATGTTTCGTGGAAAGATTGCTAAGGAC